GCATTTGTCTTTTTGGCAGATTCCTGTCCTTTTGTCAACTTGCTTTGCCAATCGCAAGGGACTTGTTTGTTGTCAATCGCAGGAGAATGCTGCTCTGCCTGATACTAAAAAAAGCTTTGCAGGGCAATTTGTTTTGCAAATGGTGCTCTTTGAAGTGGCTGAGGTGGTTCAAGTTGGTTCTCTCAATTTTTTTCTCTTGACTCTTGACATGAAACTAGTCATTAACTTTCTAATCAACAGGTTGTAAGTACCATGTTCGTATGTTTTTGTAGTCACTAGGTGGTCAAGTCCAGTTTCTGCTTCGAAAAGTCCCTCAAGGTTTTGGCACATGTGCGACGGCAAGTCGATGATCTGTATGAATCAATGGAAACAAAAATCAGAGAATGACGAAGATGCCAGCAGGTTTTCTTCGGCACAGGGACAACTTTGGCAACCAAATAAAAATGCAGTTATATTCCATATTACTGAAACTACTAAATAGCAGGACAAATTAAGCACCTTCTCAGGAACATGCAACTCAAACATTGACTTCCATTTCAGTCCCAAACTCTGCACTGTGGCTCCCGACTGCAGGTCTCGCAGTTCGTTACTATAAGCTCTCAATTTGATTTCTTTGCCATTCAGACCTTCAGGGAATCTGGTCTCGCGTGGTTGGGGCCTTTATCTCAAAATGTGTGGTAGACCCAGTAACAAACCCATCAAACCCGAAGTGGGGACACGTTCTTTGAGATAGAAAAAACATGAGAAAATTGGACATGGTATGGCTGGTCTGGTTTATTCTACAGAAACCTATAGTATAATTTGGGTTCACTGGTGTATCGGGCACCACGTTGCAAGAAATCAGCAACCAGCTGAGCTGCTGCGCCAAGCCTGAAACTTGCCTGAGGGCAGCAGATGCTGCTTCTGAGAGCTTCCATTCATACATTGTACCTCGGTTGAAAATGCAACCCTCGCCCGCACCACCATCCATGATCTCAAAGCATGCAACAATCGTGCAACAACCCAGCACAGCGTGAGCTGTGCATGTGTCCTTTTCAATGGAGAATACGTCCCATTTGAGTTTTTTTGTCAGCATCTGATGATCCCTATGGGTATGTATACTCAAATTGCAGACACACCAAAACAAACCTAGTGTATAAATTGTAGGTTTCATATATACTGGGTTATTAACAATTTACAGTATATAGTCAGTATATAGTTATAATAATTTATAATTCCACGTATATGTACATATCTACATATACCAATGATTTCATGGAATTGTATCGTGCATTTATCAGCTGGGATAGCATCCATTATCTACATTTAATATATATATATATATTGATAATCCCATCATATCCCAGCAACATCCCATAGAACCAAACCCCACACCCTACATAATCCCATTGCATGCATTTTTTTGTTGGTCAAATCCCATTAAATCACCAATGAACCGTACAAGAACAATATAATATATTAGCAATATATTAGCTATATCAACCACAATAACATATTAACGATATTTAAAGATATACATGATATATAGTATATTATGTGTTATATATCATATATATATATCATATATATATCATATATATATATCATATATATATATATATCATATATATATCATATATATATATATATATCATATATATACCATATATATATCATATATATATATCATATATATATATATCATATATATCTCATATATATATATACGTATTATTATATTATATTATATATATATATCATATTATATTATATTATATTATATTATAGTATAGTATATTATATTATATTATATTATATATATATTATATATATATATATATTATATATATTATATATTATAAATTATATATACATACCCCAAGATAATCCCCATGATATTCCCATGATGTGTCCATGATCTCGGTGACCGCGCCAGGACAGAACTGCACTGATTCCAATCCTGTGCCGTGAGAACTTGAGGCAATGGCCATGACGAACTCCTGTAGCTATGCTATAACCATGGTATACCCTCTGGTAATTTAACATAGCTATTGAAAATGGTCATTTATAGTGGATTTACCCACTGAAAACTGTGATTTTCCATAGTTATGTTACGTTAGTTTACCAGAGGGTAACTATGGCATAGCAATGGTATAATTAAGGTCTTGTCAAGGTCTCAACTATGGATGACTATGGTACAATTATGGTAACTGGAATTGTAGAGAATTATGCTATAGCTATGGCAATAAGTTGTAGTATAACTATATCATCATATCTATCTGGCCCATCTGCGGACCTATTTTTAATCAAGAAACCAGCCCCTGGAAGGGGGTTTACGATTGGCGTTACCACATCAAATCAAGACTTTAGAATACTTTAGTTGCAATTTCAGAAATACTTTTCCAGAATCACAGAACCAAAGCCTCTGAAAATGTTACCCTCTGGTAATTTAACATAGCTATTGAAAATGACCATTAATAGTGGATTTTCCCATTAAAAATGGTGATTTTCAATAGCTATGTTAAATTACCAAAAGTAAACCGCTGAACCCGACTGCCACCCTTTTTAAGGCCCACCCGTGGCCGTGTGCCTCCGCATTTTTGCGCTGGAGCTCGAGGGACCACTTCTCTACATCACGCATGAGATGTTCCACTCGTTCCAGCACTGGCCGAGGAAGGTGCCGTACCTGACTTTGGGCAAGAGAGTCATGGGGCTAACGGGTACGACGGGTACAACGGGTACAACCAAATCATCCTAAATTGAACCATTTTAGGAAACTGAAAGCCATATTTTTGGGATCCCCCATTTTACAAACACTGTATATACGAAAGCCATCCTGAAACATTCTTTCACGGGCAGATATTTTTCAGTTTTCACAAGAGGTCAAAGAATTAGTATCAGATGTTGCATACCGAAGAACATCATATCTCATGTGTCAAATGACACATGTTTTGACATCTACAATCTTCTGTTGATCTCCAATGGACACCTTCAGCATCTAGTGGTGGTTGTGGACAGGGGATGGGCACCACGAAGCACTTAGCCATTTCAATAGCTTTGGGATTAACATGACCATTGTTTGATGGATTTGTTCCTTTCAAACCTTCATTTATTGGGGATTTTCATGGGTTTTCCATTGCCACCCTTGATTACGAGGGTAAATCATTGGACAGGCCATCCCAGTGTTTCAGTCGTTCATTGATAGACTGCCCCAGTGCCTCGTCAGCTGTACCCGCAACTGCCTGTTTTTCTTTGATGCTGGCTGCATGTCAGGCTTCAAAGTCAAACAGGCCACACATATATACAACATAAATATATCAATACATATATATATATATAATACCAATACATACATATATCAATATATTTTAGCATGTATTCGTATGTGCATAAATAAGCAATTATATATATAACAATATATATATATATATGCAAATCACAATGTACACATACATATATATCAATAGATCAATATATATATATATATGTATAAATACCAAAAAACGACTCCATATCTAAATATACATCATATATATATATATATCAATCTTAAACTATCAATATATATATATATATGTCAATATATGTATATATGTCAATATATGTATATATGTCAATATATAATTATATATATACATATGTAATACTAATATGTACGTATATATATACATATCAATATATGTATATATATATATATAGATATTTATATATTCATGTATAGATGTAAATAAATATATATATATATAATGATAATAAATATTAATAAATGATAATTATACTAATAATAAAAATCATAATATTAATAATGAACATAATACAGTAATATTATATACATACAGCAAAATTCAGCGATCTATAGCTGGTTAGTAAGTACGTGTCCCCATTCACAGCAAATAAATAACGTACTGAAGTACCTATCTAAAGGATGACCCAGTCCAGCACTGTCTTTTTGCATGCTTGGCTTGGAGTCTGGAACAGTATAGATGAACGTCCCCAACAGAATCTGTAACCTTCAGTGCTGCAATGCTTACATATCATACCAGATTTTCAGAATTTTGATGATTTTTAAACATACCATATCCTATACTATACAATGATATACCTTGAGATATACCATACCCACAAAAATATGTGCAAAACTTGTCAAAACTTGGGGGTAAATTGCTTATATTTGGGAATGCATCACCCATATTTTTTTATATATCTCCAAACCACCAACATAGAGAGAGAGAGTCCCTGGATATATACATCTCTGGTCCTAAAGAATGGGTGATTGAATCTGGGGTCATGTTCAATCCGAAAGCTAAGGTTAAAACCCTTTAGTTTCTATATATATATATACGTGTCTATTCATTTTATATAAGTGCTCCCCAGAGCTACACCTTCTGGTAAACCAACATAACATATGGAAAATCACCACTTTTCATAGGTAGATCAACTATACATGATTATAATTACACTACAAATGGGCCATTTTCAATAGCTCTGCCAGTTTTCACAAGCCTTGATGCTCTGCTGGGACGACCAAGGACGACCCCACTGAGCACCCGACACGACGCACGAGCGTTGCATGGGGCGCAGAGTCACGGTCTTCGCTGACCAACAGCTGAATGACCTGCGAGGCGATCCAGCAGAAAAAACGGTCATTTACCCAGCAAGAAATGATGGTTTCACCAGCAAAAATTGCTTTACTTCGAGTGATCCCCACCGTGACATTATTTTGTCATAGTTTCTGACATCCCATCTGGAAGTATATATGGCATACTTGAGAGGGGGGGAAGCAAAGCCTCTCTGTGTAAAAGCTGGCTGTGTGTGAAAGCGTGCTGTGTGCACAAGCTTCTGTATGTAAAAGCTTTTCTGCGTAAAAGCATCTGTCTCAAAGCGTCTGTGTAAAAACTCCTGTGCACAAAGACTTCTGTGCGTAAAGGCTTCTGTGCGGAAAATTTTCGTGCGTAAAAAGTAAAAAGTCTCTGCGTGCAAAAGTTTCTGTGTGCAAAAGTGCAAAGTTACTGACTGGGTAAAGTTTCTGCGTGCAAAAGTTTCGGTGTGTAAAAATTGTTCTGTGCAAAGGCTTCTCTGCGTAAAACGTTATGTGTAAAAGCGCCTGTGTGCCTTTATTTATGCGTGCAAAAGCATCTTTGTGCAAAGCATTGGTGTGTAAAAACTTTTGGGTGTAAAAATGTCTTTGCGTAAAAGCCTCTGTGTGTAAAGGCGTCTGCGTGTAAAAGTTTCTCTGTGCACAAACCTCTCAGTATAAGAGTATCTGCGCATAAAGTGGTGGTGGTGGTGGTGGTGATGGTGGTGGTGATGGCTGTGCTGGTGGTGTGCTGGTGGTGCTGCTGGTGCTGCTGGTGCTGCTGCTGCTGGTGCTGCTTGCTGCTGCTGCTGGTGCTGGTGTGCTGCTGTTGCTGTGATGCTGTGCTGCTGTTGCTGCTTGCTGCTTGCTGCTGGCTGCTGGTGCTGCTGGTGCTGTGCTGCTGTGCTGCTGTTGCTGCTTGCTGGTGCTGCTGGTGTGCTGGTGCTGTGCTGGTGCTGCTGTGCTGCTGCTGCTGCTGATGCTGCTGGTGCTGGTGCTGGTGCTGTTGCTGCTGCTGCTGCTGCCTGAAACTGCTGTTGCTGCTGCTGCTGCTGCTGTTGCTGTTGCTGTTGCTGTTGCTGTTGCTGTTGCTGTTGCTGCTGGTGCTGGTGCTGGTGCTGTTGCTGTTGCTGTTGCTGTTGCTGTTGCTGGTGCTGGTGCTGTTGCTGTTGCTGTTGCTGTTGCTGTTGCTGCTGGTGCTGGTGCTGGTGCTGTTGCTGCTGCTGCTGCTGCTGCTGCTTGTGCTGTTGCTGTTGCTGTTGCTGTTGCTGTTGCTGTTGCTGTTGTTGTTGTTGTTGCTGTTGCTGTTGCTGTTGCTGTTGCTGTTGCTGTTGCTGTTGCTGTTGCTGCTGGTGCTGTTGCTGTTGCTGTTGCTGTTGCTGTTGTTGTTGTTGTTGTTACTCCTGCAGTTGTTTCTCAGTTTCGTAGTGGCCGAAAATCGTCAAATAGTTGGTGTTTTTGCGTTGTTTCGAGACTCTCGGAGCAAAAAACACTGTAAATACCGATGTTGTTTGCACCTCGGAAACCCAAAACCACGGTATGAAGTGATGTTTCCATGCAAAAGTCACAAAACCCATGTGAATTACAGTGTTTTAGGTCTGCTTTTAGGGTTTGTGACGGGATGGAGGGGAGGGGGGTTGGGGGGGTCCTACAATGAATAACAACCTCCTGAATAACGCTGAATAATCAGGTAACGGGGCTGGCCACCCTCCCTTTACTTCGCAAAGCAAAACTCAAGGTAGCACCACTGGAGCTACCTTTCGTATCCTTTCGTGATATCTTCTGACATTCTATTTTGGCATTCTTTCTGACATTCTGTTCTGACATTCATTTCTGGCATTCTATCTGGCATCTATTCTGACATTCTTTCCGGCATCTTTTCTGGCATTCTTTCTGGCATTCTATCTGGATCTATCTGGTATATCTTCGGAGAATCTTTGTGGTAAAGTTCCGGCGCAAAACACTCTGATCGAGGCGGAGGCGGGCCGACAGGTGGGGAACTGCTGATTCACCCCCAGAAAAATTGAGAATTTCACCAGACTAGGGATTGACCGGAAAAAGCCAATGCAAACCTCATGATTTAAGCAGCAAAACATGCGATTTCAGCAGCAAGAAATGGTGATTCTATTGATTTACCATAAAAATCCTAAAAATTGGTTTTCTATCCGTCAAGAATTGTTGATTGCCAGCAATAGATGGGGATGTAACATGATGTAACCACGAACAACCTGGAAAACACAAGGGTAAGCCATGTCCCATCTACTGGTAGCCTCCATTCCCTCCATTTCAGGAGACATGTCGGATCTCCATCAAGGGTCTTCAAGCCCCAACATCAAAGATCCACTAATCTCATGTTTATCATGGAAGTTGGATATATACTTTATGTGTCTTTATATCATGCTAAATCTATGGAACTTCCATGGTTAGTTCCATGGTTTTACATATAGACCATATAGATTCTAATTGATCATAAGTTCCATATTGTTCCATGGTTTTACATATAGACCATATATGATATATAGATCATAAATAGTGTTACCATGTTTTACCATGATTCTGTAGCAAAGGCATCGCCACTTCCCGCCTGTTTGAATTGTGCGAGCAGAGCCGCCATCTCGGGGTCCTGTTCCAGGCCACTGTTGGCATTCTCTGGGAAGCGGTGTGGCCTCGGGGATGCCATGGAAATCCATGGAGTGCCCTATCACGAAGGCTGCTAACCTGGAATTCAATATTATATTTATGTGATCTTTTTTCAATTTGGGTGAGGAAACTTGGAGTTAACAAGCTGGTGAACTTGTGTTGACATGTGTTGACATGTGTTGACATGCCATCATTCATCGAAGTGTATTTAATATAGACTCAACCACTGAACCACTTACAAAGGGATTTAGAACATCGAAAACTTAGAACATCACTAGTCACAAGTCACTGAGGTCGCAGCAGCAGACTCCTCAAGAGTCCTGGCAAAAAATGGAGGTGTCAAGGTGCTGAACACCAGGATTTCAAGCGATACCCTCTGGTAAACTAACATAGCAATGGAAAATCACCATTTTCAATGGGAACATCCACTATAAATCACCATTTTCAATAGCTATGTTAGTTTACCAGAGGGTATCTCAGGTCACTACTGTAATATGTTGCGACCGCTCCTGCCCGTGGCTCCAGCGGCTTTTCCAAGCAACACAAAATCACCATCCTGCCGCTTTCGAAGCAGGTTGGAAACCGCGTGGTGGATGACAAGTTTGACAGCTGAAAATGCCAAGGTTATGATTCTGGAAAATGAAAATGATGGATGTTTCTGACGTTTATATATATATGTTCTCAACATGTTTATGTTTGTGTTTAAACATGTTTTCCCTACACATGCATTCGTAGGGATCAACTGTGTCAATGATCTACGACCTCGGAAGGACGAGGAAGAGCTCCACATCGCAATCAGTGCCTAAGCTGCCACCGATGCTGCGGAAGAGGATCCATTTTTTCTGTGGCTATTATCTGGATATATGATGATATATGTGGATAAGCAAAACAACTACCCTGAAATATCTGAAATCAGAAAAACTCCAGACATTACTCCTTGTTATAACATGTTACAACCATGATTCCAGTAGAGTCGCTGTGATGTCATTGTTGTTTTTGTTATCAATCCATAATATACATATATAATATATACGTATATACCACCAGTCTCTTCAGAATCCAAGGCACGCATCAGTCAATATTGATTCCCTTCAAGCTGAATACCATTGTGCAACTCAACAACCAGCATCTGCAGATCTGTTTGTTTGGAGCTTCGTGGAAGAAGATCAACCGTGGGAATATGCAAATGGCTGCAAGTGATCGCAAATGTATATCACATTGTACAATGTTATCTCTGTGCAATATCAATAGATAATAGCAACTTCCCGAAATAGGTAATCCTTCTATGTAAAGGAAAGTGCAGAGAATGCATGACAGCGGAAACATATTGAGACTTTTAGAGGTCCTGTGTTGTCTCCTCCCTTTTTCTGCTCTTTTTGCATGGGACGGTGTCTCTTCCCTTTCGCTGCTCTTTTTGCATGGGACATTGTCTCTTCCCTGTCGCTGCTCTTTCTGTGTGGGACGCGGCGTCATGAAATTTCCCCGCAGGACAACCAGAACAACATACGCATCCTAATTGAAGATGAAATCATCTTGCCCTACTGCTCCAAATTACACTCTATCAGGTGCCAGTTGGTTTTTTTGTCTTTGGAGCTTCAAAATAATCATCCAACCAGTCCCCAAAACGCCATCCCAGGCACACATGGTTGTGAACGCAGGCGCCAGGTTTTGAGCAATTCGGAACTCAGCAACCTCGCTCCAACGGTTCCAACGCCAGGGTGCACGGTGTCAAGATTGGGTAACACAAACATGACGTTTGCCGGCAAAAATCTACCCTCTGGTAAACTAACATAGCAATGGAAAAGCACCATTTTTAATGGGAAAATCCACTATAAATGGCCATGTTCAATAGCTATGTTAGTTTACCAGAGGGTAACTACAGGTTCTTTTTCTGCTACACTTTCAACTTCAGTGGCCCATTCTGAAGTGTCTTGTGGATCAATCAAGTCCTCTTGAGATAGATACAGGGTCGGTTTGGTATACCATCATTTCCGACCGGGAAAAGGACATGATCGACTCACAAATCTTCACGTCTCACTCAACTCGACCGAGATGCGATGTCGTTGTTGGCTTCAAAGAGAGATCTCTGCCGAACATAGCGAGCGCCAATTTCCCAGCTCTCCTGGAGCCACGGATTTATTTACGCCAAAGTCGAGCCATTCTTATGGCTACTTTGGTCAAAGTATGTGGATCGACATATATATATATATACACATAATGAATCATAATCATATATCTATATAAACACTCTACATATAATCATATCATGTCAAAATATGTTGGAAAGCACAAGCCTGAGCTGCTCAGGAAGCTGATTCCCCGCTTGGCCACATAACCCAGCTGCCCATTTTCCCCCAGGGTGTCTCCTCCCAGTCGACGAGCCTCCGCCGAAATGGATGTCACTTCGAGTGAAAGAATTGAATGACCACAATATTCCTTCCATATGATTATTCATAGCATATTTTAAAACATAGAAAAGTTATGACAAGTTCAAATCTTACTAAAAGAATGATGAATTACGGTTCTATTCTTTGGGGGGTTGCTAGACATGAAAATAATATGATGTTGTTTGCTAGTAAAAATCCAGAAAATTGATGACTGAATATCCAGTAAAGGTTTCAACCAATATATGAGTGTATATCCGCCGACCCCTGCCGACAGCAGGGGGAGCGCGTCAGAGGAGGAATTACCAGCAGCAAGGGCCAAGAAGTCATTACAAGCAGCAAGGGCAAGAAGCAAGAAAACATGAAAGAAGAAGCAAGAAGCAAGAAGCAATTACAGGCAACAAGCGGCAAGAAGCAAGAAACAAGAAGCCAGGAAGCAACAAGCGGCTGGAAGACAGGTCAGAGAAGTCATTACAAACAGCAAGGGCAAGAAGGAAGAAAACAAGAAAGAAGAAGCAAGAAGCAAGAAGCAATTACAAGCAACAAGCGGCAAGAAGCAAGAAACAAGAAGCCAGGAAGCAACAAGCGGGTGGAAGACAGGTCAGAGAAGCAAGAAACAAGAAGCCAGGAAGCAACAAGCGGCTGGAAGACAGGTCAGAGAGCTAGTTTTCTTGTCGATTCAGAAAGCAACGTTAGGCAGGCGGCTGGAAGACAGGTCAGAGAGCTAGTTTTCTTGTCGATTCAGAAAGCAACGTTAGGCAGGCGGCTGGAAGACAGCTCAGAGAGCTAGTTTTCTTGTAGGTTGAGAAAGCAACGTTAGGCAGTGGGGGCCGTTGCCCGGAGGCTCGGTCCGTCCTTCAGGGCCCTGCTGTTTTGCTGTGGCGGAGGCGCCGTTTGTGAGCCTTGACGGCTGGAAGAGAGCTAGTTTTCTTGTAGGTTGAGAAAGCAACGTTAGGCAGTGGGAGCCGTTGCCCGGAGGCTCGGTCCGTCCTTCAGGGCCCTGCTGTTTTGCTGTGGCGGAGGCGCCGTTTGTGAGCCTTGACGGCTGGAAGAGAGCTAGTTTGGGAGCCGTTGCCCGGAGGCTCGGTCCGTCCTTCAGGGCCCTGCTGTTTTGCTGTGGCGAGGGCGCCGTTTGTGAGCCTTGACGGCTGGAAGAGAGCTAGTTTTCTTGTAGGTTCAGAAAGCAACGTTAGGCAGTGGGAGCCGTTGCCCGGAGGCTCGGTCCGTCCTTCAGGGCCCTGCTGTTTGGGCGTGGCGGAGGCGCCGTTTGTGAGCCTTGACGGCTGGAAGAGAGCTAGTTTTCTTGTAGGTTCAGAAAGCAACGTTAGGCAGTGGGAGCCGTTGCCCGGAGGCTCGGTCCGTCCTTCAGGGCCCTGCTGTTTTGCTGTGGCGGAGGCGCCGTTTGTGAGCCTTGACGGCTGGAAGAGAGCTAGTTTGGGAGCCGTTGCCCGGAGGCTCGGTCCGTCCGTCAGGGCCCTGCTGTTTTGCTGTGGCGAGGGTTGCCCGGAGGCTCGGTCCGTCCTTCAGGGCCCTGCTGTTTTGCTGTGGCGAGGGCGCCGTTTGTGAGCCTTAACGGCTGGAAAAGAGCTAGTTTTCTTGTAGGTTGAGAAAGCAACGTTAGGCACTGGGGGCTGTTGCCCGGAGGCTCGGTCCGTCCTTCAGGGCCCTGCTGTTTTGCTGTGGCGGAGGCGCCGTTTGTGAGCCTTGACGGCTGGAAGAGAGCTAGTTTGGGAGCCGTTGCCCGGAGGCTCGGTCCGTCCTTCAGGGCCCTGCTGTTTGGGCGTGGCGGAGGCGCCGTTTCTGAGCTTGGAAAGCTGGAAGACGGCTACTTTTCTTGTAGGTTCAGAAAGCAATGTGGGGCATTGCCGTGCGGTGTGGCAACCTGAAGCTGGAAACTTCATCAGGTATGCACGCGCCACTGGTTGGTGCGACACTGCCGGCCGCTGGGATTGCGATGCGTTACCTGAATTCGGCCGGAAGCCAGTGTTGAGTGCACCACCGTGCCGCATGTTGGACATGCATGCGAATATGTGCGACCTGCGAGCAGGCCATTGGCAACGCGAAATTGTTTGCCGCAGCCATTACCGCGGCGGTGATCGACGCGCCCTGTTGCCACAGGGCTTTGCACAGACTTGGCACAGTACGGGCAGATGTATATGTGCAGTCGTGGCGGTGCTGTGTCAGGCCCGACAGCAAGCTGCTGGTTCGATGAGTGGGCAGTGTCCGTTTTGGGACCTTCTGCTCGCGTGGAAGTTTGTCTTGCTTCGTGTATTTCCTGAATTTCCTTGCGAATGTCCTCTAGGATTGCTGCGTGCCGGTGGCGGGTTTCGCGTTGGCGCAAGCGGGCCAGGCGTTGATTCGTGCGATGAGCAAGACGGCAAACGAAGGCAAAGGCTGTGCATGCGTTGCATACTTGTGTGCCGTCTTGAGTATATTCACGACCTTGTTGCCAAGCTGTAAACTCTGTTCGTGGCTTGCGTTCCGCGCACTGGCGACATTGCCAACAGCCGCGTAGTTTGGTGGCACATTCTCTGCAGCAGCGGCGATCCGCGTTGCGAGCTTTCCATGCGGCTGCGCCAAAGTCGGATTCTGCTTTCACAACGCCACACTTGAAACAAGGTTTCTTCACTTCACATGTCAAACACACACGAAAAAAACTACACTGCCGTTGACGATGCTTTGCTGGAAAATTGTCTTCGGCATGCCCCAGCTTGCAAACGTTGCATTGCCACGGCGTTCCTGCGTCTGCGTAGTGCTTTGTGCATTCGCGACAGACGCGATCCTTGTCCTCGCGCTTCCATTGACCGGTCGTGAAGGCTGCTGCTGGCTTGCGTTCCGTACAGGTTGCACACCGACGTTCTTCGCAGTATTTGGCCAACAACGATTGCCAGTTGATGAAATCCCCTCGAAGGTGTCGCAGAAGAAGGTCTCGGCCCAAACCAATTCCCTTTTGGAATGGAGCGGCGTCAAAAGGTCGAAAAATCAACAATTTTTCGCGTCCTGTGACGCGAGTGATCGCGACATAGACCGTGAAGGGATTTCCTGTGGGACCTATACAAAGATCCGTCATCACCCCCTCTTTGATGGTCTGTCCTTGCGCCACATGCGCGGTGATGGCGAACTGGGGTGCGAGCGGGAATTGCGTCCGCGATACACGCAGCTTGGGGCGTTGGCGTTGCCGGTCTAAGTACCACACACGCCTGCAAGTTCCGACGGGGTATACGTTTGCATCCGGCAGACCTGGCACATGCCATGAGGTTGCGGTTTCAAACCTCACATACACTACGGCCGGCAAAGTGTTGCACACGACTCCTTCCGGCGCAGGCGTCTCATTGGCAATCGTGGACCAACCGACGACGTAGCCCTTGGTGCCTTTTAGAATGCCACGCTTCCGGTCGAGGTGATCTGTTGCACGGACAGGCATGCCGACGCACAACGGCAACACGCCGTACAGTCCACCGCACTCTTTGTCGTGTCGCTGCAACCATTGCAATTTCTCCGTCGTCAAATTCGGCTTCTCCTGCACGACCACAGACGACGCAACATCTTGCGCAACAAATAAATACGGTTGCTTGTCTCTGGCATTCGCCCACTGTATGGCGCGAAGCTTGTTCACGTGGTATTTGATGTCGTTGGTGCCGAAAATCGCGACCGCATCTGCAAATTCCTTCTGGAACCGTGTGTCCGCAGCTCCTTGCGCCACAAGTATGCGCGAACGGCGATCCGCCGCACAGTAGCTGCATTCGGCCTCTTGTATGGCTTCTGGAATTAGGCCTTGTGTAGGCAACGCGGCGCAACTTGGTTGTTGGCACGTCGCCTGCCCAGCAATCCAGCTGCCTGGCACTGTGGTAGGCCGCCCGTGCAGAAAGCGATGGTTATTGTCGGACAAGTCACCATGGCGCAGTTGCGTTTGCACCTCTGCGAGCCATGCGTCTTGTGTACGCTCACAGCGCACCAGTTCCGTGACTCCTTGCATCCCTGCTGCTGCCTCACCCCAGAGAAGCGTTTGACCGTGATGTCCAGGTGCTTGCCTCGTGCTTTTCCGTCCGGCCAGCAGATCCCAGGGGATGTCCGCTAAGAACGTTCCTTTTGGAGGTGGTAGCTGGTACACATCGCCGGCCAAAATGACGTTCAATCCGCCAAACGGTCGGATTTTGCCATTGCCATCATACTTGGCCAAGCTGAGATCCCGCATGAGCTCGCGACAGCGAAGTTCCAACTGCGCCAGCAACTCCGCGCTCACCATGCTAAATTCATCCAAGATTAGCCATCGCCATTGCAAGCTGCGACCTGCGCATTCCATGGACCGTGCCAAGCTCTGAGTTCTGTCGCCCGACCAGTCCAAGCCCAGCGCGTGGTGTATTGTGTCGCCGTCCAGAAGTTCAGCCATAACAGCTTGAAAACTGACGCTCCGGGTTGCACGGTGCATGCGACAAGGCAGCGGCCCACGTTCGCACAGCCGCAGCGGATGCTTGACACGGGTGCACTGTCACAGAACTGGGTTCGGGTGAAGCAACTGCGGGTCCGGCGTTGAATCGTTTCCGGGCAGCTTGCTGCATGGCTTTCGGATCCAAAGCACTGTATGGTGTGCTTGCACCAGAGCTTCTCTGCGGTCGCGCCGGTGCCTGCCAAAGTTGATCTGCTGTGTTCATGGCCGATTCGCTTCGGATTGCCCGGTCGTCGTTTGCGGCTTTGCTGCTGCTCGCTTTCTGCGCCGGGAACTGTGTGCGGAGTGCTGCCGCCACATAGGCTGGACACAATGTAAACGGTTCGTCCACACCATCGTCATCGCTGTTAGCGTCTGCTTCCAAGCAGTTTTTTTTGTAAAGGGGTTTGTTTTTTTTGTAAAGGGGGCTTGTTTTCTGCTGCTGCTTGGTTTGTGTTTTGTTTTGTTGTTACCTGTTTTGTTTTGTTGATTGTTACCTGGTTTCTGCTGCTCTGCTGTTGCTGCTGCTGTTGCTGCTTTTAAGGCTTCGTTGAGTGGGGTTTTCTGTTGTGTTCTTCCCTTCCTTTTGTAGAGTGGTGCTTGCTTGGTGGGCTGGCTTGGTTTCTCTTTGTTGACTGGTTGCTATGTTTTCGTGTGCCGGTGCTCTCTTTTCTTTTTGCTGGGGGGCATTGGGCCTTGGACTTTGGTCTGAGGCATCAGTGTGTGGGTCTTGCCCTGGCTTATATTTTGCAGTGGTTGCTGCAATGGTTGCTGCTTGTTTTCCATATCGGTGCAGCTCAAGTTGGCAGTTGGTGGGCTCAAGCTCAGGGCAGCAGAAGAGCATAGTAGCTGGCAGCTGACAGGCTCAAGCTCAGGGCAGCAGCAGAGCATAGTAGCTGGCAGCTGATGGGCTCAAGCAAAAAAAAAGGGGATGATGGGCTCAAGCAAAAAAAAGGGAATCATCATAGTAGCTGGCCAGCTACTATGGGCTCAAGCAAAAAAAGGGGGTCGCCATGGACCATGGGATGGTATAGCAGAGCCAGGAGCAGGAGAAGGAGGAGGCAAAAAAGGAAGGAAGGAAGGAAGGAAGGAAGGAAGGAAGGAAGGAAGGAGGGTGGGAGGGAAGGAGGGAAGGAGGGAAGGAGGGAAGGAGGGAAGGAGGGAAGGAGGGAAGGAGGGAAGGAGGGAAGGAGGGAAGGAGGGAAGGAGGGAAGGAGGGAAGGAAGAAAGACCAAGAGGAATTAAGCAAGAGGAGGCACACGAGGAGGTAGCATTGCTGTAGGCACTCTAAGAGAGCGCGGTGAGGAATGAGAAAGGGAGGAGATTAGAGGAAGTATCGCTGCTGTGGGCTCTAGACTGATTTGAATGAGAGGAGGTAAGGGAGGAGGTAGGAGGATATGGATGGCTTTGATTTAGACAAGGTATGAGAGGAGGTAAGAGAGGAGGTCAAAGAGATCCATAGGTAAGAGAGCTAGGAGGAAAGATCTTGAAAGTAGGCTAGAGATTTTGGATTTTTGCAGAGTGACAGTGAGTGCACAGATTGGAAAGCAGCTTGCAAGATTGCATTGGCATGGCATGGCATGGCATGGCATGGCACGTGGTACCTTGCTGTGATTCTGTTTTTTTCCGAGGCCTGTGGTCTGTGAAATTTGGAACAACATTTAAATTTGCAAGTTTGGCAATACACCATCATCCATGAGATGCAGTGCGACAGTTTCAATTGGCATGGCACGGGGCTCGCTTCGGGGGTGGGGGGGAAGGGGCGGCTCAAGGGCAGAATGATCCTGATCCATCAGAAAGTTAGCAGGGCAGTGGCAGCAAGGAGGTGTCACAGTCTGCACAGTCAGCCTCAGCATAGCCAGTCACGGTTCTTTTTCCAGGTGGTTAACGGAACCGGTTTTTGGAACCGCACCATCCCCCGCTTCTGGCAATGTTTTGGGGGGCAAAGTCTTGTTTTGGAACCCCAGAAAAGGGTCCATGTCTGGTTTCTGGCTTTCACTGGTTTTTTTGGTTTTTTTGAAACAACATGCCGCCCAGAGTTAAATGCAATGGAGTGCCAAAAAGAGGGCCAAAAAGAGCAAAGAAGAGCACTGTCAAACTACCGTGTTCTTTTGGAAAATGCAGAAACAAGTTGGTGGACTGCAAGAACCGACCACATCAGTTGAAGGTAGAAGAGGTGAACAAACACAAATGCAGAAGTTTGCGCCGGCATGTGAAAACGGTCCGATTTTGTTCCAAACAACATTTGGATTTTTGCCGGAAAACATGCAAAAAAAAACGGGGCGGTAGAGAAGCTCTGACCTGCGATCAGCTCGTTTTATTTTTTCAGACCTTGGTGTGCTCAGCTCCATGGGCTGCAGCACTTATGTTGCTACAACTGTTTCTGGGTGAACGCTGCGATTGTGCAAGACAAGCAACGACAAGTTGGTTCAAACATTTCAAGATGGATGATTTTACTGGATGGCCTGAAGTCGAAATCCCGAAGGTCAATGGCAAAACATGTCCGAGGAAGATACCATTGAACCCCCAGTTTGCCCATCTTTTGTGGGGCTGGATGGTGAAAGAACCCTTGGCTTCAGATTGCCGATGTTGGCCTGTAGAAGGCCAAAACTTGAATATTGCAATTGAGAAAGAGACTGACCAATATTTGTTCTGTGGTTTCACTGGTTTTGGCCTCAATGATCCAGTTTTTGAACAACCTGTTTCAGAGCGAGCTTTTTTCAAACAGCTCCAGCGAGCAGTTGAAATTCTGAAACATGAGCGCCAAGTGGCCCACCACCGCCAACAGAGTCATGTTTTCGATGACGTTGATTTATCTTTGATTGGGACACATTCATGGAAAAAAACAGCTGTAACTCTCATGAAAGAACAAAAAGTGAGTACATCGGTGATTTCAGCCATCACTGGAACTTCAGTTCGGACCTTAGATGAAGTGTACGATGTCCCAACTCAAAGGCGTCAAAGGCACATGGTGAAACAAGTGTTTGGTCCTGTTGTAGGTAATATACTGAAGACTGATGATTCATTATCGTGCCCAAATTGTTTATCGTCCGTCGAACCTGGGTGGAAATTCTGTCCACATTGTGCAGAAGCTCTGCCCGCGAGTGAAACTGCTAAACTAGTTTCCCGCCAACAACGCTAGGCCAAGGGACACTTGACTCATCAGGAGGTGATGTTTTGTTTTTTGTGGTAAAGGATTCACATGGCCATATCAGTAGAACCGGATTCTATTAAAGGAGACCTGTGGTGTTGACAGAACACATACAATCATCTCATGTAATTCAAACCATGGTGATCTCTTCCAATTTTAGATGATAATGTTGTGTGGGAACAGCATCTCATCTGAATACACAAGGGTGGTTCATATTAGTATTCAATAGCTGTTTTGAAACCTTGCTGGGGGTCGTGCTATGAGTCAGTGTTCGCTGCTCGGAATTGTTCAATGTCTCGGCAAGCAAGTTGTCAGGCTAAGCTGAGATTCTATGATGCTTCAAGGTCCAAAATCGAACTAACCATTGCTTGCAGAGTAGTTTTCATAGCAAGAGCAAATCACAATCGAAAAAATTGGAAATTGTCCTGTGCTGCCTTCTTCCTATGACTAATTCTGATAGTAATGTGGAGGTTCAAGTTGAATAATACTTTTTCACCAATTCAAACATATAACTTTTCAGACTTTTGTGATGCAAATTCATCAGACCTTCTGATATGGCAGTCTGACACTGCTTGCCTAATTCGACTAATGATGTTTCAGACCGAGATCCGAAGAATCGCTGCTGGGCCTGGGTTCCGCCGGGCCGGGGCATCCACCACTCATGGCTCAGAAGGTTGCGGCGACCTTGGGCGGCCACGTCGAACGAAGTAGGATGCGGATCTGAATTATTCAGTGGAAAATACTTAGACTTAGTGCAAGGTTCTAATATCATATCTCACATGTAGGAGATGATCGATGATGACATGTGAGTAACGAATCAAATTTTTAACAATTTAATCCCAAACAGTGCAGGTCCACAGGCTCTGAGGATTTTTTTGCTGACTTTCCCAAAGTCAGTCGGCGGTCCGCGATGATCCCTGAGCCTGGTGCTTCTGCCGCTTAGGAGCTTGGAGGCGTGGGGCCATGGGGTGACAAATTTTGGTCGGCTTCAAAGTGTTTGCAATGCCAAAATGGTTTGACATTGAAATTTCCAGATGTTATGAATATAATGGATCATTATGGTATTCACATTCTTTAGGCCCCACCAACACCTCAGAACAACATGTCCTGTTCGGAAGCCGACGGGCAGGGTTTCCCAACCGCCTGCTAGTCTAGTCTGGTCCAATTGGTAATCCAACGCCAAAATCTGATCATTTCAATTGAATGATCCCCAAGCCATGATCATGATTGATACTGGCTGCCAACTCAAAAGAGCTCCGCACAATGGCCCGCTGGCAGGTCAATGTCACTGGTGAGGACCACCTGCCATTGCACCGGAACGGGGGGAAGGCTTACGGGTGTTTTCTCAAAATCATCCATTCAAGTCAAGAACTCAAAGCAGGTGATTCATTCAATTTAGACATTCGTGTTTTGTTGTCCTAGGTAACTTCCAACACTCTTTGCCTCTTTTGTTTTGTTCAAGATAAAACGTGGATGAACTTCAAATGTTCAAGATACATCAAACATTCAATGCAAACAGGGAAACATCAACCATTTGATGGAAAACATTTTTTGGGGGAAACTTGCTCCAAAATGGCCTGCGGACGAATGGGCTTGATTTCATTGATCGCAATCTTGACACTGAAGATAATTTGTGTAGAGTGACCCTTCCAATGTGCATTCCCAACCAACTTCGCGGCCGATTGCTGCGCTGAGTTTTGTGTTCCTTGTCCTTCCTGACCCTCTTCAGCACCTGGGTTTTCCTCAACGGCCGCTGTTGCACTTCCAGGGACAAACCACACATTGTGATTTCGTTTCAAGGTGAAATGTCCTGGCTTGCCTTCTTTGGGGGAATCAGTCATCTCATGAAATGAGATCTTGACTTTGGGACTTCTGGCCCTTTGGGCTTCCACCAGACTGCCAATGGTCTTGAAGTGCCCGTTGAACAGGACCTGACAAGGCCACAGCTTGGCAAGAGTGGGTTGTGTGCTGCCTGGTTTAGTTTTGATAGCACGTGGAGGTAATTTTCAGGTTTCAGCGATTAAGATTTGAAATTAAACCAAATCCACAGTAAATGAAAATCTTTCAAACACAGTATGATAAGAAAGGAAGGGTCCTGCTGTGATAAGACATCCTGAAATAATCATCCTTCACCATAATATCTTGTGTTTTTTGGGTACGATAAGCGGCATACACATTATAGTGGAATACATTTTTCATTCATACCCTCATGTTCATGGTTATGATCGTTTTATGGTCATACAGGTCATCATGATCAGATTCCTTAAAGGGTGTCATGTCCATGAACTTATTTTGTAGCCATTGGATCATCATCATCATCATCATAATCATCATCATCATCATTCATCATTCATCATCCATCATCATCCATCATCCATCATCCATCATCCATCATCCATCATCCATCATCCATCATCATCATCATCATCATCTTCACGATATTTGTTCATGAGCAATGTTGGCTGGATTTTACTGTCCACTTAGATATTCATGTTTTAATACTGTAGCCCTTTTACTTTTGATGATTTTAATTTACAACAATGTGCATGGGAAGAGTAAAAACTTGCTCCAAGGTACCATGGTTTCAGGGCCATCAATGTTGAAAAGCACCTCCTTTGTCGGGTTGCCCTCGTTCTCAGTGCCAGTTTGCAGGCGCCATTTGCCTTGGCCATAGCCGCACAAGATGAGGCCAGCCTTCAAGTTGGCTTCCTGGCTGCCCTGGTTGAAGACATAGATTTTGCTGCCCGCCTTGATGTGTAGGTGGACACCTTGGATCTTGGCATTCACCAAGGGGACATCCAGAATAGCTCCCGCAGTACCAACTGACTCAATGGTCTTGATTTTGGAACCATCAACTTTGATTTTTTTCCCACTACCTCCACCACCGCCACTGTTTTTGCGTTTCTTCACCGGGCCAGGCTGAGTCTTCTTCTCCTCGCCATCTTTGCCCTTGTTGGGGTCAGTCTCGTCCTCATCCTTGCCCTTAGACTGGGACGTGGAGTCTTCAGTCGGGATGGGCCCAAACTCTTCCACAATGGAATCCATCAGCTTGTTGAACTCATCTTGGTACTCTGGATGGATTGAATATTCCTGAACGGACAGAAGCTGACATGGACTTTGAAAGCAAATGTTCAACAATAACCATCTGGAATTTTGATTCTTTGATATTGATCAAAGCATCATGCCCAAAAAACATCACAATTCAGTGATATCATGCTATGATTGAATTCATTGCTTTTGAATCATGTCTGAATGTTCAGAACTTTTTTTAATACTTGCCATGATCATGGCAGTCCTTGACGATAGCTTCTGGAACCAGAGGGTACAAGTCTTTCCGGGCCACGATGATGTTCATCTTAGGTGGGGCAGGCTCCGTCTCCAGCAGGTCCGCTTGGCATTCGGCAGCCGGTTTGGGAAATCCAGCGACTGTCAGTGAGCCATCCATGTGCAATCGCGCAAGCCAATCCTGCCAGGGTGTAAGCCTAATGATTTTGTAGTATTTGGCTGCGGGTTAAAAATTATGATCATCCCAATTCCCCATATATATTTAATTATATATATATATATATGAATATATATATATATATGCAAGTACTGAGTCTTATGTTCTTAACTAGCTAAACCCGAGTAAAAGTATTATATAATTATATATATGTATATACATTGACCAGAGCTGATCCATACCCATGTGGCATTTTGTTTGTCATAATCCGTTTTTGATTGATATGATGCTGGCCTCCTTGTGAAGCTGGAACCATTCAGCAGTCTGGGCATCGTCAGTGCAGCCGATGTAGAACACGGGATAGTTCCATGATGACTTCAAGCTGGCATAGGCCTCAAACATATTGCCAACGGACATGTTCAGGTCAATGATATAGATGGCAGATCTTGCAGTGAGCTGCAGGTCTTGCATCATGCCAGAAAGAATTTTTTCACATGCGTTCTGGCCAATTTGTTCGACCTTTCGTGCCCCTCCGAACAAGAACTCCTCTCCTTCTGGTACTCCAATTGCTGTGCCGGATCTATCTTCAAGTGTGGACTCAACCACCAGCATTTCCTTGGTTCTCAGCTGGGTGGCCAATTCAGTGCGACCATCCCGCCACAGCGCTGCATTGCGCCACAGGAAGTCTTTGTCTTTGAGCTTGCTGCAGATGCCCTCCAAGAAGCGCCCGCGGTAGTTCAATGGCCGCACTTGATCTCTGGCATCAACCTGTCGGGTCATAGGGTGTTTGGTTGTATCAAAAAACTTGAATAATGTTCAAATTTTTATGTTCAAGGTTATTGTCTGGGTTCCAGGAATTGATAAGCATGATGAAACAGGCTTGGACTCTCACCTTCATATATACAACCATTGATGTTGACTTAGAATGTTTATAGCAATGGTATTGTAACACTTACCACCATTCTTTGAAACAAAACTCGATATGATAGTATTGAAATTGGCATTGACTTGGGAAGTAAGCGCTTAAGTTTCTTTCATAGTAACCCATCAAGATACACAAAACATTGGGCAGTAAAGGTGAATCAATGGCATGTGGCCTTGGTATGACCGGATACTAGGAAGCTTCGAGGGCAATGTATTGAATGAGATGCCTTCAACACTATAGATTTATTGCATACTGATGGTTTCCATTATGGAGCTTTTAGTAAACAAAAACAGTAAACAACAGGTTGAAAGTTTTAATTTTGGTGGGGTGAAATCACCAAAAGATGGGTAAAACATTGCACGATCAGTTGTCTATTGACAAATTTGAAATCTTGTGTCAAGTACTTGTTACTAGCCTAGGCATGCTGAGGCGCATGTGTTTGCTATATACGGTCACCTTGATGCATGAATACGGCGATAACGTTTCAATTGAGCATCGCTGACACCTACTGATCATTCTTTAGAAAAAGACACATCCGATAATTGCAAAACAGTGCAAGTCTACCATGCGGACCATGCATTATCAGATGTCCTTTTATACTGCTTTGGGTCTTTGGATATTTGTTTTTGCATTAAGTAGGCCGACCAAAATCCCTGATGCCTTGCTGTGGAACTGAAGAGAGAATGCTTTGTCCAAGGATATGCCATTGAGGCAAAGCTGCTTCATAATTGCATGCTCAAGCATCCAAAGCTCATTCCGCTTGTAGCAGAACTCTGGGGACAACATCAAGCCGAGGTTGCGCCCGCTGATGCTCAAGATGTGGGCCGCTGCTGAGGACTGGGCCGACCGGGTGGCTGTCTTCAGCATGCTGGGGGCTGCCCAATTCAGGTAGACCAGCGCAGCCTCAGATCAGTAGTAAGAAAAGCTTGAATGCACAATGCACAATGCGCAGCTTCAAGTATTCAAGCAAGATGCTATTACTGGTGGACCATTTCAAAGGCAAAAATATATGTTGCGTCAAAGTAGTCTAATAAGAACATATTTCCAACACAGATTAGGCGCATTTCCAGATTCATCAAGCTTCAGTCGATGAGTTTTCTCCAGCATGAAGTTTTGGATGCCACGGATCAAGTCATCCCCAGCTTGGAACACAATGACCTTACCATTCTCGTACATGAAGTTCTTGGCGGCTCTGACAGAATCCTGATAGGCTTGGACTCGGTACTGGAGCTTCGCATGGTGCACTGCAACTTCCCAAGTCTGGCGCTTAGCCCGCCCAACTCGGCAGGCCTGGATATCATACTCGATCTGACGCATCTTGAGTTTGAAAGTCTCAGCTTCCAATGCCAACATTTCATTGACTGGCTGGGATGGCAAGGGTGTGGAACTGTCATGATGGTTCATGATCTGGACAATGGTTGGCAGGTCGCGGACATTGAGACAATTTCGGTTCATGATGGCAGATTGAACTTCCAGCACTACATCAGAATCTGCCTTTTCGTAGAGATGAACCCATTTCTCATGCAAAGTCTCATCGGAGATAGGCATTTGTGCCTTCACTTCACCTTTGACCGCAACCACAAAGGCAGCCTCCTCGGCCATGGCTTCCATGGTCTGTTTGTCCAACTTCTTGCGCAAGGTCACTGGGGCTTTGGCATGGCTGTGGATCTGTTGGTTGACCTTGGGATTGGGATTGTAAGTTCAATGTGTCTTGTACCTCAAACAATAACTAACTTTGACCTGGCAGTTCTGTACGTGGATTGTTTTGAAAACAATCGCTGCAATCAATAGTGATGAATGGACCTGCCTGGGTTTTTGGCTTCCATGAAATACCTATGATACGACTTCGGACCATGTCAATGTATCTTAATTTCAGCAGTACCGAGCTGACAACATAGTTACCAAATCAGTTCAGGTCTAAGAATGTATTATTTAGTGCAACTGAGATACCATCACACGGTTGCTCTCAGCCGATACCTGTCCCCTGGATTGCCAGACTGGACCGCTGTTGCTCTTGAACCTGGGAATGCAGGAGCTCAGGCTGAGGTAAGGCTGGTAATAGTACTTTGATTTGAATTATGATTTCAATTTGAGAAATATAATCGTAACAGTTCATTCTAGATCATTATGATGGTCAGGGTTGTGAATAATAAGCTTTTCAACTTAGGACGCTAAGCTACTGGTACCCAGGCAGGCACTTCTTGGAGCTCAAAGTATCATCAGTCCATGGGGTGTTCTCACATCCACACTGCACGCAGTAGTTGATGATGGCTTCTCTGGCATCTTTGTCAAAGTGTTCCATGATATTCCGAACAGCCTGCGCCTTGGCTCCCAGGAGCTGACCGGTCTTCGAGTTCTGCTTGTTGTGGTCACGTACCTGGGCGAGCAGATGTGGGATGATCTGCTCATGGGTCAGCGGTGGTTTTGTCATCCCGGGGTAAATAGAAAATAGAAAACATTTTTTTACAGACTAGGTGCCAGTTGTGCAACATCCATGGTGGGTTCATGCGCCATCAGATTGTTGATGGTAGTCACCCAGGTACTTAGCGAGCAGAGAGACAAATTGTTTCCCATGTGCCTTTTTTTTATTCGAACACCGCATTTTCAGAAACTAGCAGTTCATGGTTCAAATACACTCATCACATGGCACGAACAATTGAAACCCCATTGCCATGCAATAGGAACAAAATTAAGGCTCTAACATGATATTGGGAGCCTTCCGAATTGATCCACGAACTGAATGCTTGAAATTCCCGAGCATTTCCTCACGCTTTGAGCCCACCCAAAGTCTCGCAGCTTGTATCCGTCGAATGGTCCGGATCAGCGCTGGATGCACCTATTGGAAAGAGATGGACCCTTGGGATGAAGATATGTACTTGAAAACAAATATATATAATATAATGTGTTGACTAACATCTGATCCCCATTTAAGATGTTATTATTTGATCCCTCTTTACAATATTTTTCTGAAAAGCACCACCCTGTATCCTTCATTATGACCTTATGAATAATTAGTTGTTTATTGGGGCCTTTTTATTGTCACTACCTGTCCACTTTCCTGGAAATCAAAACGAACATGTCTATGTTAAGAAAAGGCTTATCACACTTGTCCCATAATCACTTCGGACATGGAACACATGAAAAGAGCGAACACCACATTGTCACCTATAATTCCAACATGAAGTTTACTAACTTGTACATGAACATCTTAGAACAGTAACCCCAAAAGGGATGCACAGTAAATGGTTTATTCATATGCTTGCACGCAGGTTCGAAACCTTTAGACAAACATACCTGAACCAATCGTTTGCATTTTCCAGACCCTAGCCTCATGATAGTTGTCCAGTCTCAGATCACGGGCCAAAGAAAGCATGCTCATCAACACTGCCACCCTTGTCCTCCCCTTGAAGTATCCCAAGGAGAAAGGGAGCATCGTCCCATCCAGGCAGCGCCAGGGGGCAGTGACTCCCTAGCAAGGGGGGACTGGGAACAGGTGCAGTTGGAGCCATTAGTCCAAATATGCATAGTGTCTATAGTGTGTATTTGTATATATATATATCTCTATCTATATATATATATATATCTATCTATGTATGTATGTAAGCTGTGACATGATGTTACGTTACATTGTGTTATGCGATGTTTTGTTCTGGTATATGAAGTTTATTAGGTTATATGTTGCTCAGGTATGTCATGTTATGTAAAGGAATGTTTTGTTAATGGATGTTATGTTAATGCTAATTGAAGTGCCCTTTTCTCCTCTTTAAAGATCTTTTAAGTACATATAACATTTTGGGGGACAACAGCCATCCCAAAAAAAATACCCCTAGCAGTGGTATTTTTTTTGGGGCCAACAAGGGCACCTCATTTTGAAACAAACCTATATATATATACATATATATAATATGTAAACGTATGTGTGTATGAACACATGCATGTGTTTACACAGATATGTATATTAGTATGTAGATATACATGCATGTTTGTATGTATGGGAGGTTGTATGTCCATCATTTGATCTGATCTTCTCTTATCTGATCTTTTGATGTATTATATTTTCTAATCTTATCCCCTTTTCCCCATCATTTTGGACCTAACCTTACATATGTTGGACATATTTTGATATTTGTACCATGTTTGCACATATCAATGTTTAGCACCCAATGACAATTGCTTTGAGACCCACTGCGCGGCCTTGGCAACCACATCATTCAAGGCTGTAGATTGGATGAGGAGTAAAGGGTCCCCACCGGTCACAAAGCCATCTTGCAAAATTTCTTCCACAAGAAGTAGGACCACATCATTCTCAGCAGGGCCTTTCACTGATGCCTCCTTCGAATAGGAGAAGCAAGCCGGGTGCACAGTGACGATCTTGTCCTACAAGGCTGGCAGAGGTCGGTTTCGGATTTGGGGTGGCATCTATGTCAGCTGGCTTTTGGGTACAGTATCTGAGCATATATAAGGGTCTAAAAAAACTTCAGCATTTATATATATAAGGCTCTAGAGAAAGTTGACTTTTTGTGTAAATTAAGGGTACACAAAAAGTCAACTGTTTGCGTACCTCACGAATTCAGTCCCTGAAAAAAACATTGGGGGCACTTTGTCCACAAGTCAAAACAGATGTCAAAAATCATCAAACACCAACCATGCATTTCGTTTTGCCAAGGTCAGGAATGGATAAATTGTTTGGACTTGAACAATGTGTTTCAAAGAGTTTCCACTGCCCTCAAAAGAGAACAGTTGATTCCTTTTGGTAAGCTGGTGATTCATGACCAGAGCCCTTTGTAAGTAGTGGCTAATGGATACCATAAGGAGTCTCGAAAACTTTCTTAGTCACCATTTTCATGTGGTCAAAAGATGGGCCGTCTTTTGTATATATCATGGTATGTTTTGAAACTACTGAAACTCATGATCCTCGTATAGCTGTTGTTTCGAGAAACCACAGTGATATGCTTGTTAACCAGGAATCAAAGAACACAACATGCTCCAGGTTGAAAGCATGTTACTGAATGTTACAATCCAATAATTCAATATGTTTTTCTTTGAATCTTTGAGAATTGATCATCGCCAACTTTAAATGCTTATTTTTTAAAAGACAGTTGAGAAAGTTTGCCTCACACATATTGAGGCCATGAATTCATGGCCTCATTGACTGTCACGCTGTCTCCAGGATTCATTGAGTTCGGCGGGCGCTCTGGCTATGGAACGGAGGCATGAATGACCATGACATGACCATGTTTGGAGGTGTAAAAATGAGGCAGCTACTACTAGTCGGTGGCTCATTGAGTGCATATCCTGGTACAGCCTTCAGACCCCTAGCCCCCTGTCCTTCTCGATATCATCTGCCAAAGTCGTGGGAATGTTGTCTGAAAAGCTAAATTCAGCGCAGTCCAGTGGCACTAGGTGCACCAAGTAGTTCAACCATTCATTGAGCTGTGAAGGATCTTGAAACCTTACCCGGAGATAGTTCTCAGGGCCACCAAACTCCTTCAGCATCTTACCCACAGCCTCCCGCATGTGCTTTGCAAAGGAGTCGCGGTGCACATCCTCGGGCATTTCTGCATCAAGGCCCCAGGCCTGCATTGCAGAATGCTCGGTGAGCCCAACTGTAGATGCACCATCATCCGCCATCATATCAGGATCAATTTTTTTTTGACTCAGTCAACCAATGAAAGTTTCCACCTTAAGAGCAAAGGAGCAACGGTAGTGGCATTGTATTCTGATCTCAGATGAACCTTTGTTCTGTTCTCAAGCATGTTTCATGTTTGCCATAGTTGCATTTAATGTTTGACATTTTCACTGAGTTTACCAGACTAAGTATAAACAGAACATCATGGTATATATCCGACTTGATTCCCATTCCCTTCTGTTCGCAACTGGCTGGCAGGCACGAGTTGATCTCAAGGACTGCTGGTCATCTTCTTTTGGCGAGGAGGTGGCTGCTAGTAAACCGTTCAAAATAGGACATCCACTGTTTGACTCCAGTTAGAGATTTTGACCAGTGGTCCTGGTCCTGTAACTTTTTAGATTAACATATTTTTTGAAATCATGATAAGCATTGAAACACCGTGCTGGTACCAGAGATGTGGTGAAAAAAAATCGCCACAAAATTCCTATAAGTTAAAGGTTTCATGACAACATACCCATATGAATTAACATGTTTACTTATCATGGATTTGTTTGAACATAGTATTTTTGTAGCGAAAAAAAAAATCACCACAACTTTTGGTAATGCATGGCTGATCAAAAGATGTGGTGAAATTTTGGATATATTTTTTTGTATTGGTGATTTTGGAAATGAAGCCATCGTTAGCTTAGCCTGATTTCAAGAGGGCTGCAACAAGCCCAGGACCACCGGACAGCTGAGTCCCTGGATGCCCCATTGTGGAGCCTCAAAATCCGCCCATGCCTTAGCCAAATGGGTGGTTGGCTATCATCGGATGCGCCTTTCAAAATTTGTGAGTTTTTATTTACTCACCAGCAGCAGTTGCTGCTGCAGCCTCGACAAGTAGGTTGCATAAACCTGGAGGGTACCTTTGGGACCACACACTCAAGCGAATCCCTTGGACATTCCCTTGAATGGTTCGGTGTGGAACTTCGCAGTGGCACTGTTGTGCCCTAAATCGGGTGTCCACAGAATTCAGATTGGACAGAAAACGGGTTCGTTTCTTCATGGGTTCGCCGTTCGGCGCCACGAGACCCACAGCGCATTGGTCAAACATAGTGAATCTACAATTTGGTTTGCTAGCCAAATCAACAGCACATTGCATGGACCATGAGCTTGCGGTGGCGGGGTGTTCGATGACAAAACCTTTCCCCAAACGGTTTTGCTGTTCAGCCAACTCACAAGAATACACAAACAGGTCCTGCGCTTTCCTCAGCCGCTCTTGGTGCTCCTCCTTTGTCCAGTGCTTCAGGTTCCACATCCTGTCAGTGGTCAACCCGGGTCCGGTCCCTGGTGCTATGTCAGGCTCGATGTCCTATGACACCTATGGGTCATCAATTGATTCTACATGAATTGAATCTTGCGAAGCCAAATATGGGTTCAAGAGTGACATTGGCTAGCAACTATTTTTTTTGAACGATAGACTCATCATCATGATAATAATATGCATCAAACTTACTTTCTGTGATGGCAGTCATGGATGTCCACAGGATCCCAGCCTTGTGAGTGCCGAAAACATGGTGCATGGTGGAGAGAGAACCAACAATGTGGGTTTCATACGGAATAGCAATTCCCGCAGTTCACTCCGCATGGTGGGATTCAAGCCGTTCCAGTCATTGTATGTCAGATCAAAGGCATAGTCGGCGGAATACCCTTGGGCCCTGGCTGCCATTGTTACCCTGGGTGGACTAAACACTTCCGTAATCAACTGCTTTTTGAGAGAAATGTTGCCCTTCACCACAGCATTGTGCAGTAGTCCAAAGGATTTGGCAATTGGCTTCTCATCATCAGTTTTCAATCGTTTGGGGTCTGGCAGACGCGGACCGGGACTGTTCAATCCCAAGTCACCTCCCGAATCGAGGTCACAACTGTCGAGATCACTGCTGCTCACGTCACTTGGCAACTCAGGGGCGGGGCCAGGTGCGGATGATGGTGGCTGGACCTGGTGCTTCTGTGATGACTTGTTGACCGCCTCGGAGATGTCATCCAAGTTGTTGCACAACATAATGATCTGAGGTGCTCCTGGCGCGAGGTAATCATGCTGTTTTTTCACAAGAATAACATTGTAGAAACTGTTTGATTTAACATTTTAAATTTCCTTTTAAATCTCAGCAGTTGAAAGAAACAGATAAAATGAAAAACCATTAGACTCCTGGTCAGAAGCTTTCAGATTGAGAATAGTTGGCGCTGGTGATGATAGAGCCAAATGTTTCAGTCTGATTCAACCGGTTGGCAGTGAAAGCTAACTTTTTTGAAGCTCATTTGTCGAGTCACTGAACAAAGTTGACGGCAAGACTGCTGTAAGTGCACTGGAATATCCGGAAACCCTTTGAATTGTTGAGACCATTTTTCACCGCCAATGGATGGTCAGTGTCTGAGATCCCATGTCATCTCAAGGAACCACAAATTGTTCCAACTCTGTTCTGCCAAGCGCTGACCATGATGAATGAGTTGGGACCACTGTTGATTTTGAATAATGATTTGCCATCTATGCCGAATGTCTCAAACGATGAACAAAAACTAGGAGGATGATGAAGCTGCTTCATCACATTAAAGATATGAAAAAAAATGTTGTTTGTTTCATTGGAAGCATTGATTTTGACCAGTACTGTCAGTGACCCAACTCCCAAGACAATCAAAATTGACATGTTTCAAACGGACCACTCAGTGTCAGCCACGGCGCTGCTGCCACAAATTAAATCGAAGCCGACACTCGGTGCAGCCATTTGCTGCGTACCTACATTTCGAGCAGCCCAGCGATGTCTGAGGCTTTGTAAGTCGACGACGGTGAGCGGGTGGAGCAGCTGGGTCCCTGGAATCATCATCATCCTGAGGCCGGCCATGGTCATTTATGTAGTTTACTATTCCAAATTGATCTTTGCAACTAAATTTACATGTCATTGATAATCGAATGTTCTCACAAATAACTCACGATAATTCAATGCTGGTAAACATGGCTTGATGATCAAAGACATCGATTCAATCGACCCAATACCCGAATATTAAGATTACACTATGCTGAAATTAGCAATTTGGGCCCCATGGGAAACCGGCTAACTTTTAATGGACTCTTTCTTGATTGTGCAATCTTTTGGAACCTCTTAACTTAGACATCAGAGTCACACAGTGACAGACTCACTCCCTCACCAAGAGTTTGCCATGTTTGCTCCAAGAGTCTCCGCGGTCTCGTGCTGGGGCTGATGCTTGGGCTTTTGCTTTTGCTTTTGCTTTGCATTTTGCCTTGGCCTTGGCACATGATTTCATTACCTTCACCTTTGCCTTTGCCTTTGCCTTTGCCTTTGCTTTTGCCCCTGCTTTAGGCGATGCTCCAGCTTTTGCTTTTGCTTGGGCCTTTGCCTTGCCTGGTGCTGCTGTCTGCTTTGGCTTGGGGGCTGCTTTCGTTTTTGCAGAGGCTGGTGGTCCACTCTCAACTTTCACAATTTTTGGTGGGTCAGGGGCAAACTCTTGATAAGTTTCCAAGCTGGCCAGTCTTTCAGAAGGCTGATCCAAGCTAGGCATTTTTTCAAACTTGAAGTGCGGGGTGTCCTTCTTTACCCCGGCTGCATTGTCATTGACCCAGGTGCGTAAGTACTGACCCGCCTGCTGCAGCGACCAAGGCTCCTGCTCCACGAGGCTGGCCGTTTTCTCGTACTCGGACTTCAGCTTCTGTGACAGGACATTGCGGGGATTCACACTGGTTGGGCCACTCAATGGGAGGCTCTCTGCCTTCAGGCGTGGTAAAAGCACACATGGATGCTGGGACAAGCAGGTCCTGCTCATGTATTGCTTCACAAGCAGCAACACATCTTGATCTGATTGCTCATCCTCCGGGAGGTTGTCCTCGATTTCCCACAATTCCTGGGAGTCAGCTGTCTAGTGGGAACTGTCGAATCGATATTTGTGTGTGTGTTATCTTATTGTATGATTTGAACATCGGAATTGGTGTAAGGAAAACATATATATATAATAATAATAATAAACAGAAAACCATAAGTAAGTATTTGGTGATCTGTGATGGTAAACTTGCCTTTCTTTGTGACATGTCTGGTTTGGAATATGCAAATTAAAGATTTCATGGTCAGTGCCATTCACAGTATCCTTTGCAGTGCTTTCACATTCGGAACTATTTTTCCTTCAGGGAAATTGAGACAAGACCCATGTGCAAACACATTTCATCAAACATAAGTGTTGAGCAATGATGCTAAATTTGCAATGCCGACTTTCAAATTCAAAGTATCACCCCAGGCCCCCCTTGCACATCTTTCCCCCATGTTTTTTTGAATCCCAGGAGTATCATCCTTGCCGGCCGACTTATGGCAGTCGCTTAGCTCAGCTCATGTGCTGGACCGGACCGGATCAATGTCAAAAAGTTTTCATGGGATGGCTGGTTGAAATCACTGCTTTGTCAAAAAGCGCAGCACATCACGTCGGCTATGAGACTCTTGAACAATGTCCTTCATATCGCAAAGTACACTTTTGACATCGGACACCCATTGACCTGCAGCACAAGACTTTGCAGACAACGGCCAAATTTCTTCTACTGTTGCTATACTAGCCTCAAAGTGGCCTGCTGTGATATAAGGCACATGGCAGATTGCAGTGATGGACACTGGGGTTGTACGAGGCGCCATCGCTTCAAATGGCAGTAGGCACTCATGTTCGGTTTTGCCACCCCACACACTCAGTTTGACTGCTGTGAGGACTTGCCACATCTGGGCACATGGCATGGTCATGAGCTTGATCCCAGCCGCACCGCACACGTTCCTCATGTGCTCCCTGGTGCATTCCAAACGCGCCAGGCGACGAAACTTTTCCTCTTCGTTGTCAATTGCCAGTACCCAAGTGAGGCATGTGTGAAGAAGAACGACATATGTTTCGCATGACACGGTGAACTCAGCCATGGTGATTCGGAAATTGCACTTGACTTGAAAGTGATCTCGAAATTTCAGGTAAAGGTGCTTGAAGCTTGAAATCTAGCGGATTGGACTGTGATTGACTTCAACATCTGATAATAAAATTTCCCTTAAAAAGGGTCAAATTGTGAATGGGGTCCGCGCGCGCGCGCGCCAAAAGAGCTTCAATTTGGAGACAGTTTTGGCGCGCGCGCGGGCCCCTTTCACCCGGAGGACCTCTTTGAAAGTGTTTGAATCTATATAATGGTCACTGGAAACATGAAGGTCCGAATCGGAATCAGTAAAATTTGTTTTGAACCGTTGAAATCATATTGAATGATTGGTCCATGAAGTTCGCACTGATAAAGCAGTGGTTGAACAATTTCAAAACATTGGACATGTATTCAATTATTTTTTCACCATACAACCACTTGGAATGATTCATGGGTGTCAGCCTGCATGAGCCCGACTTTAACGACCATAGCGTTTACACTTAGTCCTGTTAACGTTTGACACTTCAAGTGGATGACACATGGAGTTTTGCATGGATAAAACAGAATAATAGGCCTGGCAATAAGAGCCAGTCATGACATAACCCCAATTCCATTATCAGCTGAATTGACTGACGAGGTTCAAAGCCCTTATGGTTCTTCAGATCGGACCGCAGCATGAAACGAAATGCATGATTCACGCTTTCCATTTGCTCGACGATGGCGAGGCCACTAAGATGTTTGTCGGCTGCCAACAAGAACTGGGACCAGTCGAGAACATCGTCAACGATTTCACAGTGCAACTTTCTGCCCGAGGCCCCAGGGATCTTCAAGATGCAGTCGCGAAACTCCTGCAATAAGCTTGGAACACTGTGTTCTAGGTGATGGTCCCTGGTGTATCTCTCAGATCAATAAAAACAGCAATTTCAAGATTTATATAGTTGCAGTCGCACATTGACATCCTTATTCTTGGTGATGGTGTTGTTGTGCATACTGAAAACTCAGAAAGCAGAGTTACTCGACTTCAACACACTGTCCTCTGGAGTTTGAAGTGTAGCTTCTTTTGCAAGAGCTGACCCTATCACCCAAAATCGTTGGTCCACTTCATTGTGTGTGTGTCCAACACGGTAGAACAATTGATCTACTGTTCTACAAGCCCCATTTGCCACAAGCCATGCGCAATAGAGGAAAGCCCAAGAATTCCGTTGCTCCCTTGTTGTGTTGTCTGTTTGGAACACCCAGTGTCGGGGCATTTGGGACCCCCCTCTCTGACAGGATTGACTTTGTGAGCTGGAGCACTCTGCCTGAGCCACCGGCTTAAGGGAAGGGAAATTTGCAAGCTTTCAGTCCATCGCTTAGCTATATAATCTAAGTATTACATTTTCAAACCACACAAAAACACATTCTTGTGATTCTCGTTGAATGTTATTGGTGGTGTGGGTTTACAAGTCACTAATTTACAAGTGACTAACTTGTGGACCTGAGTTCTGACTCTGACTATGTTCAACTTCCAGTAGCAAAATGATACACTGCACATTGATTGCCACCAAGCAGGGTTTGACCTGAGGATCTCACTCAACAGGGTGATGTTGGTAGATGACCCCTTCGCAACATCGGAATGGCATACAAAGTAGCATTCGACCACCCCGTGAACTATAGCTCCCACCAAGTGAAGGGCCGGACGAAATGTCTTTGCAAACTCCTTCGAGCTGCTCAGGTTCCTTGGAACCTTGAACTTGGCCTGGGTGCGATGGCAAAGGACTGTTGCAACCAGTTGGTAAATGAAACATTCATGGGAGCATGAAAATCGTTGCCCATGATGATATTTAACGGATTTTGCTAGAGAAGAGCGAAGGGATCTGGGTCACTGTAATGCCGGCTCAAACATATGCAGTGGGAAGGGAACGCTAGTTGAGTCCTAGTGGCTTGGTCCATACCGTCCATGCTTATATAGAGTAAGCTATGTTCAGGAGGGACATGTAGATCAGATCTTGTACTTGACTCAGAAGCCAACATCAACCTTCAGCCACAGGAGCGATCGGTGAACACACCTGCAACATGTTCGGCTTTCGCTTGTTGCACCTTGGTCTTATCTTCCGGGTCCTTGGCCTGTGCACGCCATTGGGAGAGACGTGCACCTCAGATGGCAAGTGGCACAAAAAGACATAAACACATATATAACAGATGTCCATGTTTTTGTTCATCGTTTATGATATCTTATGGCTTGAAATAAGATTGCATCACACTTTTATTAGGGTACTTCCCCCAATTTAGATATGAATGTTCTACTGTAAACAAGATAAGAGTCAATAGTGTCTGTTGACATATCGAATCCCACAGGTTTTTCAAGTTTGGATGTATCTGTAGATATGCTTTATCGCTAGTAGGTGTCATAATTCTTACATGTTCTGGTCTGTGTGCACACAAACTGGTTTCTGATGATAACTCAAAGCAAGCAAATGATGAAACATTGAATCCATAATAATAGATTGTTCATCCAAAAAAAACATCGCAACCTGACAACACAGCGTTAAGTGTCCTTGGTTGGCGTTCAAGGCACATGTCATGCAACGAGCATGCTGGCCAAGCTGACGAATCTTCAACACAGGCTTCCATTTTTTGAACTCCGAACGGAACACTGATACTGAAGCGACACCATCGTTTCCCTGGTGGTGGGTCTGGTACAGGTCATAGAGCTCTGGAATCGAGATAGGATGTAGCCACCTATATAATAAGGGCATGATTTAAATTAAACTTTGATGCATTTTGTGTTTCAAATCCTTCAGAAACCTGTGGGAATACTTTCAAAACCCATCCTGATCTCCGAAGTTGCCAAGCCAATGCAGGCAGCCCCAGCTGGAGTGATGTCCGACTCCTCCATTCGCCCAGGCTCCGGGGCACACTCTTCCAGTGTGTGACCTTTACGGTTGACAAAGTCCAAGTAGTCATCCGCATTCTCAGAGTCATCAAGAAGCCTGGATAAGGCCATGTCTATTTGCCTTAACAGCTATATCCTGAAAGGATTTGACATTAACTCAACTTGTTCTAGAATATATCAATTTGCAATTTAAAATTCAAATTGGCGCAGTAGAGTAGCTCTTCTGGCAGACCATCACCTTCTGCTAAAGGCTCAGCTAGGTTGTCATACACCCATCGGAAAAATGACCTTGCATGATCCGTGGCAGGACAGTCTCTTTGTGGCCGTTCGGATCGACCATCCGTAGGCGGGTCGACGTGGCCGTTCTTGATGTGCTGCCTAGGAAAAGGATGGTCTGGAATAATTACGATAAAATACGGCAAGCCATGATCATAATGATGAGTTTGAACAAAACATGGGAGCAATCACAGTGGCATTTAACGAATTGATTTCTCAACCGATTGTGAGGTTTCAAATCATGGCAAGGTGCAAGTGCTTGATCATGATTTTCTTTGAGATACCAGTCATGTCTCTGAATGCATTGACACACATGCACTCCCCCATGAACTTCCACGGTCGCCCTGCTCCAGTCCAGCTGGCATCGGAGTCCTGACAGAGGGCGCAGGGACGGTTGCTTCCATCTTTTGGTGACATAGTGACCAAGATCTATACTATTGGAATGCAGTATGCAATTTCCAGGACTGAGAGAAACCCGGAATTTTATGACATTAATAATGTGAGTACCGACTTAAGATCCATGAAGTTGGTGCAACGAATCGGGGTAGTATGGCTGAGCGGCGTTTCACTTGGGGGGCCAGATTAAATCAAGCCAAACAACCAAACAACGAAACCACTGATCATTTCAATACAATGTCAAACACTGTCCTGTTCATAAGCTCGCTTCAAGAAATGGAAGATGACTCGGTTTGTGTTCACTGACGATGTCTGATTTTGAAGTCTATCCAGCCATTCTTGTCGTCCAAGCTTGAAAGACTGATCCCCCAAAAGCCGAGCAGTGCACTTGCGGTGGCAGCAGTCCGTGCTGAACCTGAAGATGGTGAAGCCATGGTGCGCTAATCATCGTGCTTGTCAGTTTTTCACATTGCACATGTTGTTGGTTCGAATACAAGCGTTTTGATGGATTACACTTTCTTTTTGCAACCATGGAAAGTTGAAGTGACCCAAAGACATATTAAATCTGCATCCTCTGAAATTAAGAACACTGAGATCCCATGATTTCTTTATCCGAAGGTGGAGCATCTGAGCTCCAGACACTGACTTCAAAACACCATCGCTGCTATCATCATCCGATGGCAGTGCCACAGGGTCGGCTGACATCTGCCCAATGGACTGAGACTGGTCCTGGTTTGGGATTTGGCTTATGGGTTCTTATGGGTTTTGCAAGAGGTTTTCCTTAAGACTGTCGTGCGTTGATAGCTTACCAATAAAGACTCGCTACTTGTGATATAATTATATACTAGACTTTAAGTAGTTCGAAGTTCGAAGCATGTATACATGAATAGCAGAGCCAAGCAGCAGGTATACCTTGCAAGTTTGCAATCGATAACCCAGCATCATCGTCGGGCAATGTGACATCCATGGGACACTCGTCCATCGCTTGCGGCCACGGCGCCGAGACCCGGGACAAGACTGAACGCGAAAAATGTTGTGGCGCAGTACATCATAGGTTGTGGGTCAATCTGAAAGGAAGATCATTAAAGATAATTACAAAAGACTTGGACTTGTCACAGCCCTGAGGGCCCACACTTGGTCGACGAAGGTAGATTCGAGATGCCTGGCGAGGGGCAATCATAATCAAAGAAACATAACCCATAGATTTTGGGACCAAATTCATTCACTCGATTAGATACATGTCTAATGTCACTGGTAGTTCTCATATTGAACATTGTGTTCAACCGGTCCAACAGGTTGATAAAATGTACTAAATTGTATTGGCATACAAACCATTCGCAACTCCAGACCCTGGTTTTGCCTCGCAGTGGTGTAAGATCCACAGACCTGCAGACATGCTGCAAGAACCAGCAACAACTTGACACCCCCAACATGTACATGATGATAACAGCTAGCAGCTAGCAGCGCTAGCCTCCTACCGCAAGAATAGGCCGCCAGAGACAGAAGCACCATTGCCCACCAAGACCTGTGTGATGAGTAACAACCGGTATGTTTTGGTATATGTATTGCACTATAACCATGGTTCATGGAAATATTATATAATATATAAGTATTTATGTACTACACAGCATCATCACACTACAGTTACTGCCATCCTTGAGATGCAGATTCTTAAGATTCTGTAGATGTTTGACTCAGTGGGCCGAGGGCCTGGCCAGCGCGGCAAGCCAAGCCTGCAAGGGCAAGGGAATTCAATCGCCGGAAATAGAATGTCAGATAGAATGTCAGATAGACTGTTATAAGATCTAAGTTGTTCACCAGAAAAGGGTGAGTGAGTTGTGCTTGAGAACGTTTGTAACTGGACATGCTAATAAATAGACAGCTTACTGGTATCAACACCCTCAAAGATACCCAAGTTGTGTGATTCTAAGCCACAACCCTCCCGAAGCAACAAAACTTCTTTTGAAACCATTACAAAGTATAATCAACAAACTCTCAGCCCAATGCACCCCCGACCTCGTCCATTGAATAATCAGGTAAATCTTGTCCATGTAGTACCCCTCTGAGTTTGACCTGCCAAGCATGAGTCTGGGTGATGCATCCCTTGAAGGCTACTGGTTGCTTTTCAGGTCCAACTTTGACTTGATTTTTTTGGTATGCATGTTAGAAGCAGCGAACCCTTTGTCACAGCAAACCCTTTGCAAATCAGGCTCTAAGCATTGAATTGAAAGTCTCAACTCAACTTTTCAAAAACCAAGGACCTGTGATCTTCGCACTTCTAGCGATGAAAGGTCACTGTGAATGCCTTTGATAGGTAAAGGCCTGACACATGGTAACGCACAATGCCATCCTTGAGTGAAAATGGCCCCCCAAAACGGGACATGACCACCTCCGGGGTGCTCACAGCAATTTTGTAAATCTCACCCCCTAGTGGCACAATGGGTGGCTTTAATTGACCCTCCATGACTATTGCGGCGTTCACTTGTGTCACCACAGCAGTGTCCTGGTCATCACGATCAGGAGAGGCCATCATCGAGTTCAAAGTCTCTTTGTGATGGGTTTGCAACTCCTCAAACACCAAATTGAGAAGACGGGATCCAGAGATAGCATCCTTTGGAATCATCACACCCTCTCCTTCCTTGATACTGCCCCTAGGCAAAGGCATGTCCAAGAGTTCAACAACATCCATGCCAGTCATGACACACCAGCGTGTCAGATCTGATTCTAACTTGAGCAGAAGCTCTGGATTTTCCTCTACCAAGAACTGCGTGAATCCGGCTGCAATCCCGGCAGGGGCATCCATGTCTGATGCAAACTTTCTATCACAACAGTGGCTCTTTGATTTTGAACCAAAAAATGTCTTCGATTGGAAAAGTGATGAAAAGTGTAGCCAATGACTTCTGCAAACCATTGGTAATTTGAAGCACTGAAGACCATATTCTGAGATGACAATTTCACTTCAATCTTGCCCGGCCTTCTCTTCAATGCAGGTGACAGCAAGTCAGCGGACACTGTGCTGCAGTGCATCTGCAAAAAAAAAAGGATCTTTGCAATTATGTTGAATGCCAAAACCATTACCTCCATATAAATCATAATGCTTCAAATCTTCTACACACACCACATTGTTTTTTTGGCCTGCCCTGCCCCCCCCCTCAAGAGGGACCCGGATCTAAGTTGGTTTGAGCCAAGTGCACGAAACCATCGCACTGCATCACATGAATGGTGTGTTGCCAAACTTGCAAACTTAAATGCGGTTCCACACTTCACAGGCCTTGGAAAAAACTGGATCACAGCAAATGACAGGTACAACTGTTTGGAACAAGGTACGACAGGTATTGACTCTTAAACTGCATGATGATGCATTGGTCTCTTAAGAATGAAAATGTAGTGTTGGGGCCATGTATGTATCTTCAGGAGCTCAAAGGTATAACAATAAACAGTTTCAAAAACATTGAATATAAAATTGCAAGTTGAAAAACACATCTTAGACAAAAACAGTTGAATGTCTCTTTGTGCAAGGACCACACACACTCTCCAAGCACATTGTATGAATGTGTGCCCAATAACAACATGTAATAAAATGAAGTATAGGTAACACTCCAGAAACAACAATACGAAATCAAATGGAAACTATATGTGTAGCAGCTATTTTCATGTTGGCCTTCTAGAACACACACAAACCAGCGCATAACTACAGCGCATCTGACTGACTGTGTAGTAGAACCGGTCCTAGCCTACTAAAACCAACTCACCCCAAAACCAACGGCCCACCATCTCCACATTAAGCATGAAACAAACTTCTCACCCCCGCCCCCAGCCACCAAACACCAGTGAAAGCCAGAAACCAGACATGGACCCTTTTCTGGGGTTCCAAAACAAGACTTTGGCCCCAAAAACATTGCCAGAAGCGGGGGATGGTGCGGTTCCAAAAACCGGTTCCGTTAACCACCTGGAAAAAGAACCGTGACTGGCTATGCTGAGGCTGACTGTGCAGACTGTGACACCTCCTTGCTGCCACTGCCCTGCTAACTTTCTGATGGATCAGGATCATTCTGCCCTTGAGCCGCCCCTTCCCCCCCACCCCCGAAGCGAGCCCCGTGCCATGCCAATTGAAACTGTCGCACTGCATCTCATGGATGATGGTGTATTGCCAAACTTGCAAATTTAAATGTTGTTCCAAATTTCACAGACCACAGGCCTCGGAAAAAAACAGAATCACAGCAAGGTACCACGTGCCATGCCATGCCATGCCAATGCAATCTTGCAAGCTGCTTTCCAATCTGTGCACTCACTGTCACTCTGCAAAAATCCAAAATCTCTAGCCTACTTTCAAGATCTTTCCTCCTAGCTCTCTTACCTATGGATCTCTTTGACCTCCTCTCTTACCTCCTCTCATACCTTGTCTAAATCAAAGCCATCCATATCCTCCTACCTCCTCCCTTACCTCCTCTCATTCAAATCAGTCTAGAGCCCACAGCAGCGATACTTCCTCTAATCTCCTCCCTTTCTCATTCCTCACCGCGCTCTCTTAGAGTGCCTACAGCAATGCTACCTCCTCGTGTGCCTCCTCTTGCTTAATTCCTCTTGGTCTTTCTTCCTTCCCTCCTTCCCTCCTTCCCTCCTTCCCTCCTTCCCTCCTTCCCTCCTTCCCTCCTTCCCTCCTTCCCTCCTTCCCTCCTTCCCTCCTTCCCTCCTTCCCTCCCACCCTCCTTCCTTCCTTCCTTCCTTCCTTCCTTCCTTCCTTCCTTCCTTTTTTGCCTCCTCCTTCTCCTGCTCCTGGCTCTGCTATACCATCCCATGGTCCATGGCGACCCCCTTTTTTTGCTTGAGCCCATAGTAGCTGGCCAGCTACTATGATGATTCCCTTTTTTTTGCTTGAGCCCATCATCCCCTTTTTTTTTGCTTGAGCCCATCAGCTGCCAGCTACTATGCTCTGCTGCTGCCCTGAGCTTGAGCCTGTCAGCTGCCAGCTACTATGCTCTTCTGCTGCCCTGAGCTTGAGCCCACCAACTGCCAACTTGAGCTGCACCGATATGGAAAACAAGCAGCAACCATTGCAGCAACCACTGCAAAATATAAGCCAGGGCAAGACCCACACACTGATGCCTCAGACCAAAGTCCAAGGACCAATGCCCCCCAGCAAAAAGAAAAGAGAGCACCGGCACACGAAAACATAGCAACCAGTCAACAAAGAGAAACCAAGCCAGCCCACCAAGCAAGCACCACTCTACAAAAGGAAGGGAAGAACACAACAGAAAACCCCACTCAACGAAGCCTTAAAAGCAGCAACAGCAGCAGCAACAGAGCAGCAGAAGAAACCGACACACGAAAACATAGAAACCAGTCCACAAAGAGAAACCAAGCCAGCCCACCAAGCAAGCACCACTCTACAAAAGGAAGGGAAGAACACAACAGCAAACCCCACTCAACGAAGCCTTAAAAGCAGCAACAGCAGAAGCAGCAGCAGAGCAGCAGAAACCAGGTAACAATCAACAAAACAAAACAGGTAACAACAAAACAAAACACAAACCAAGCAGCAGCAGAAAACAAGCCCCCTTTACAAAAAAAACAAACCCCTTTACAAAAAAAACTGCTTTTCCGCGCTGGGCCGGACACGATATACCGACAAGAAATTACCCACGTGGCGCTTTGTTTCGGCGCAAGGCAACCGAAGCAGCCACTCTCGCAGAGCATCTTCCCACGTCTCATTGGATCCCAACAACTGACTTAGGTGAGGGACTTGTGACGTGGCCCGCGTCAGGTCTAAAGTCCAGGCTCGAAAATAAAGGCACGTCAATCGGGCGTTGCGATCCGCCGCATCAGCCCAGCGCTGTGGTACCGGAGCATTCGCGAAATGAGGACACCGTGGGCGCACACGGCGCTGCAAATACCAGTTGTGTCGAAGCACTGCAGTGGCCGCAGCGGATGCGAAATAAACGCGGTCGCGGGAACGCAGGACTTTCAAGCGGTAATCTGTGCTCGGCTTCAATTTGGCAGCGGTGTGCAGCGGGCTTTGCAACAATTTTTGTTCCCCGACCGGGGTAAGTGCTACATCCCAGGCGTCGGGACTAGCTGCCTCCCATTCGGCGCGGGAATGCGGAATGCGCGCTGGAACCAACTCCCAGTGCATGGTGAACTCGTATGGGGACAGCCACCAGCACTCGGAGTCCGACGGCCGATGACTATATGCTTGTCCAGTCACCGCTTCCCGCACATGCTGCGCTCCGGATCCTGGTGCCTTCCGCGTTCGAACATATGCTATTTTGGTCCCGGTCTCTTTTCCTTCCAACCTTTCCAGTAGCTGTAAATAAACGTGTCCAGGAAACACGGTGAAGTTGCACGAGGACACACGTTCCGCGGCTACAATCGAGCCATCGATGTGGTTGGCACGCAGATTACAACATTCTACTTGGCCGCGCACCAGGCCTTTGCAGTAGGCATCACTCAAAAAACGGTTTGCATGTCTTTTGCCAATGTGGTCCACGTCCGCCTGCTTCAATGATGCATGTAAAGCGATGTGCCCTTTCTGAAATTCTTTGATCTCGTGGAATCCCATGGGCTGATTTTTGGAACAATAATCACTGCAATAACCTGTTTACGCATCCTGGGCACGCTGGGCTGCTAAGGCTATTAGCTGTTTCTCTTTGCTCGACAGCGAGTCGCCACACGTTGTACACGCGTACGGCAACCTGTATGGTACTTGGACATCATTGTTCCCACCACGCATTGCGGCTAAAAGTGCTGGATGACAAGGATTCAAGTACGGATGTCCGTAGGGACCATGCAGAGCTCCCAAACGATTTTTGCGACCCGTTAGACTGAAGCCATGAATTTGAAGCCAGGGGTCGGCGGCAGGGGGCGGAGCCCTTTAATAATTTGTATGCTTGCATTTTCACGGATTTGGTGGTTCTCTTGAAATAGTCAAAATCTCATTAGTCTCGAATCACCATCCCCAAAATCTTCCAAGATACAGGAACGGGTTTGTGGCCAAGCAAACAAGGCCTTGCCTGGCAACAAGGCCAACGTTGTTACACAGGTGCCTTGGATGGCAGGAGCTGATTGCAACATCAGCAACGTCATGTATGTTTTCTTAAACCAACTGAAATAGTGGAGATGGAAAGGTCAATTTGATAGTTTATCATCATTTCTCCCAGTAAAATTGCGGAAGGGTCATGTCCCAATTTCTTGAGAAAATCAGCCGGGGCACGGATCAACGCGCTCCAAACACTTCTTGACTTCACGCAAGTACCGGCGCATCGCTTCAAAAGAGCCAACCACATCCTGGCACGGGCGCTCTCTGGCGCTCACACTTGGGATTACTTGGGTACCTTGTGTACCTTCCAAAGTTGGAGTGTTCAAAATCCATCTGTTGATGGGCTACATAAACCTAACATCTGTGGGTTGAGGGGTTCCCGATTTTGAAGCCCACTTTTTAGATCTTTCTTAGGACTTCTCCACAGTGGGAGCAACAGGTGCACTGCTAAGGTCCACACAACTGCCATGGACACTCCGGCACTTCTGGACACAGCATCTTGGATAGCTGCCGCTGCGAAGCCCTGTCGACAGTCAGATCTGGGGTACATGGGGCCATCGGTCTACCCACGTATCAAAAGCCAGTTTTGGACAAAGCCTCAAATGTCTGCACTGATTTTTTTGGGTCTCATGGCCTATGAGGAAACATATGGAAACATCAACATCACCCTACATTGCCCCAGCATGATGGCTGCCTTGCCCTCACCGGCAGCTACGATGTCTTTACCTCCAGACATCATACATCTACGAGAGGAGTCATGACAGCAACGGCAAAGTGAGGTAAAAAAACGTCCAGATGATTTGCTGTCATGAGTTTCAATGGAAATTTGAGGCTGTTGCATGCTGGCATCAATAGATTGGTTTAAGGTGACAGTCTACAGGAAAACACATTGTTTATCGTTTTTTCATAGCTAAAACCGGAGGAATACACATAAAAAATCATGAGCAGATGGGGGTTATGGGGGTTCCATGGGTTTTCAATTTTCTCATCAATTCTCGAAACTCAACTTCCTATCCTGAGGACATGGCTGCTCAAGCCAAACTTGCTCAGCACCTCCGACGCCTCAAGTTCCATATCAAAGAATAGCAGATATATCAGGAGATATCAGTGTTTCTTCTTTCACCCTCAAATTTCTGGAGTTGCTGCTGACTCAGGTGTTTTTTTTTCCGAAGTTTATGATCTTCACAAGCTTTTGACCCACTTGCTGGTCAGTGAAGGTCTCAATCCTGTGGTAGCCCATCCCCAAATCCGATCCAGTGGAGTTCCCAATGACATGCCATGAGGATCGATTGAGCTGGCGACACTCTCCAATATGTCAAAGCCTTGGCAGAGGGATCAACATGACATATCTACATTACCTGTAAAAAAACTAGGCCTCCAAAAAAGATTAAAAAACAAATGGGTCTACCCCAATTTCCCTCCAAGCTCCGAAAATGATGATGATACCCGGATTTTGGGCTATGGTATAGACAAACCCGCATATACATTTATCAAAAAACAAATAGTCCCTTCCCATATGTAAACATATCTATACACATATATCTTAAACTCTTAAACGCATACATGTATATATATATATGATTAGATGCATATGTATGTGTATATATATATACATGGACATATATAATATGATGTAAATATAGTATGCATATTATGTATATTGTTATGTATATCATGTAAATTATTAAATATTTTTTTCATCTCCAAATTGATGGGTGCCCCGGCCCAGGTCGTCACGTCCCTTACGACGGAAGTTGGCCACAGAGTTGAGATGGGCAATGCCCTGCCTAAGGCGATCTCAAGGGGATTTCATGTGGTACTTTTTTCATGGGGAAACCACAGGAAAACCATAGGAAAATGCTGATTTCACCTAGAAAAACAAGGGATTTTCATGGGGATTGTAGCTGATTTTAGGCATGTCCCCCTTTCAGAAGTCATGATGGATTTTTCGCCCTAGTTTTTTTTCCTGTACCTCCCTCAAACACCCTGGTTTAGTACTGGAATCATTTATTTGTGGGTCCCTTATTCGGGGTATAATAAGGGATGGGATTCGTGGGGGATTAACCCAGAAAATACCACTGACAGCAATTCTACCCCTGTATTAAAAAAAAGTTATAATTGTGGATTATATTAGACATTATTGTATTATGGTGTTAATTGTCATTTGATTTTCAGGGTAAACCAAGAAGATTGGGTATTTCACCGCCAATAAGCAAACAACATATGGCTTGGATGTGCATCCCAGCTACTAAGTGGGCGATGACCCAGCTGCATGTGGGCTTCAAATCCCTTCTCAGAAGGTATTTGAAAGTCTAGGGAGTGGATGCTGATGGGTCAGAAGTTGGTTCTTACTGCTGAGTTGATTTTGTCTACAGCAACTTGGCAGGAATGGTCGTCTATGTTAGAGAATAACAACTCCTCATCCCCCTTTGATAGTGAATTGCCACTAATTGCAATTTGATTGTCTAGTATGTGGTTGGGAAACTCTTGGTAGCTCCTTAGCTCCCCATTTAATAGGGAATATGAATAGCCATAGCTCCTTAGCTCCCTCCTAACCACTGGATTTTCGGCTCAAGTTAGAAACAGTTCATGCTTGACGATCATGGGGAACCCAACAAAAAACATCCTCCAAATGGAATTTCCAGCAGTGCGGGCAAGCGACACTAGCGCTCTCTGCAGTTCGACAGTTTCTTTTCCCTTTTGAGGGGCATCCTGTTGGGTGGAAAGAGCAGGGATGAACATGGAATTTCCACCCAAAAAAAAACATGAAAAGGGTATCTCTACAGTCTCTAAAAAATATTCAGTCATCCCCGAAGAAGATAGAAAGGCAATTCATCACTATTCTACAGTAGGAGGATTATACTGTTCTCTCTTTTGCGGGCTTGCTTTTTGCCAAAAGAAACACGAAAAGGAGTACCATGATCCAAGCACTAGTGAACAACAATGACAACAATGGTTCCTCCCAAACCATCTGGTTTTTGGTCAAAGTTATCAGCCCTCAAAATGGATGGTTTGATACTAAAAGGATGGTATTGATTTCTGGTAGTTTGCAAACCATCTTTTCAGCAGCAATTTTGTGGGTCCGTTGATACCCCAATAAAGTGACCCAGTTTGGATTTCCCATGATTTCCCAGCACTTTCTGGTCACAACCGTCCTCCACTGTTGCGAGCTTCGCCTCAAGTTCTACTGCCTGCCAAATGGCCACAGATGTCAAAAAGCACATACATACACAGCCTATACATTGTCTGCAATAGATCTTTCAACTTGCCAACCTGGCTTCCTAGAATTCACTATCCCACCATCGCCTGAACCAGAACCATAACCTTTTAGAGGAAAAAATTGTCTTCCGAACCCCCAGTCAATAACAAATCAACCAATCATATTTCCTTTGAAAAATCATCCGATTAATCCCCATTGAATCCCATTATGCTATCACGGAGCAGGCCAGAAGCCATGACAGGTGCTCAAGTTCCGACCCTGCCCGTGAAGGCCGTCTATATAAGTATGTATATGTATACATATACACATACATATATACATAGTATATATATATATACTAATATGTACACATAGTAAACCCCAAAAAGATAGAGCAATGTGATGATTCAATTTGTTTTTGTTTTGGGTTGCTATGTATATATATATATGAATGATTATACATATGTATATATATATGTATATATATATATAGACAAAGTATATACACAACAATAATCGATAGAAATCCGTAGCATGGTACATTAAGCCCTATCAATGGTGAATGACCATCCCTTGTTTTTAGGACAATTAAACATGTTTTGGGATAAAAAAACAACAGATTCTCAAAACAGCCTCAGTTCCATGTTTCTGCTAGTGGCAGCATTTACCAGCCATATACCTCCCATTCGGATACCTTGATGATCAACCGTCTTGCTTGTTCCTCAATCTCGATCAGCTCGGCAATGTACCTGTGACCATGATGTGGCACTTGGTGGCTCTCAGGGCCTTCATATGTGTATATAAATTGTATAAATGTATATATTCAACATATACACATTTTGTGGAGATATTTACCCTGTGGGAGACATTGAATCTGCTAATGCATAGTACATACTATAATACACTATAACAACACATATACATATGCTATCAAGATATAATATACATAGGAATACGTAATTATGATACACTAATTAGACTTCTAGCATCTTCTAGCTATACTTTGGTGGATTGTTATTAAATTTTATTAATGTACCTCTTCAGAGCGCATCAACCCCAATTGGCTTTAATCTGCGGCTGAGGTGCTTATGCTCGAAGCCGGCCCAGGCTACATCCAGCGAATCCAGCACTGCACAGAGTTCCGATCGGCCCTGGCGCATGGAGCTTCATGGAGCTGTGGAGATCGGAAAATGGATAACCAGCTGGTAATTTAACAAATAGCTATTGAAAATGGCCATTTATAGTGGATTTTCCCATTAAAAATGGTGATTTTCCATAGTTATGTTAGTTTACCAGAGGGTAACATTGGGATTTTGATGGATTTGGGGATCAATTCAATAGTCAGACTATGGAACAAAAAACCACTCAGTTGGTTTTTAGAACATGGATTTTCTCCATGAACCAATGGCAACAAAACGGGGTATCCCTCGAGGCAATCGTGGCTTCAGTCCGAAACACAGCGAAACAAAGGTGTGTCCGAACATGTGCAAAAATCATACCGATCAGGTTTGTCATTCCTGTCAATTTTGCTTGATTCCAATCCCATTATATATATATATGTTCCAAATCCCATTATATCCCCATTGAATATCACCTTTGGTGATTACCATCTGGTTACCTAACATAGCCATGGGAAAATCACCATTTTTAGGTTCGGTAAACCATCTATTATCATCATTTATCATCTATTTCGATTAGGGCCATCTATACCATGGCAACCTGTTAGTATATGACCCTGCAACATATTGCTGGTTGTTCCTGGATATCTGAGCCAGACCTGGGTACCCCGAAATTGGGCTTGCTGTCTGGGTCCGAAGTTTCGACCCTTTTTTTTACGTATCCCCATGAAACACGGTTTAAAGTTCAGTTGGTGAGAAAAAATACACAGATTTTTTGAAATAGATTGAAATATCATCCAAAAAAACTCCATTCTATTTAGCTATTGCTGGCTATTGCTGGATATATTATGATATATTAGCCGTAAATTTCAAATATCATACGCTGCATAATATCATAGTATTACCTGTTGGATTGATCAGAACCACACTGTTCATCTATATCATCTATCAACATCTATATTATTAGATTCATGGTTGATATTCATGAATGATTGATGGATCTAATCATAAGTTGCTTAGTATCATCTATCAACTATCAATTGATGAATCAACTAATGAATCATACTTCTGGGCAATTCATGTTAATTCACTGACCTGTAATCAAGCCATTTGGAGATAATACTTATGAACCGTCATTTCAGTGACATCGCAGTCAGGTCTCTCCAAACATTTGGGTATGGGTCAAAATTGGGTTCCCCAATAATTATAGATTATATAGATTGTTAATACTAAACATATCTAAACATATATAAACATATATCATGTACAAATACATTTCAAACTGTATTCCCTTCTGGGGCTTATTTTTTGACCCATACCCATGGTCGTTGTAATTCATCCAAACATTATTATATCCACACTTAAAGTCTTTTTTAATTACCAATCATATCCCACAGGTATATCCCATAGGTCATATCCCATACCCTTTGGTAAACTAACAGTTTGCTATTGAAAATGGCCCAATCGAAATAGTTGATTTACCTATTACCCTCTGGTAAACTAACATAACCATGGAAAATCACCTTTTTTCATGGGAAAACTCACTATAAATGACCATTTTCAATAGCTATGTTAGTTTACCAGAGGGTAAACATGGTCATTTTCCATATGTTCCCAGAGGGTAGCCATTGGATCCTCCAAGAACCGCCGCTCCCCCTGGGTTCAGCCGGCTGGATGTCGACATCCATCAGGAGCTGCGGCCGACGCATCCAGAAGCTGAGTGAGATCGCTCCAAGCCTGGCTCCGAATCCCATGGGATTTTCACCAAGGGCAAAACCGCCCTAAGGGCCTTAAAAATAAGGTTTGAAGCAAGGCTTTTTGATTGGAGTCCCATACTAACCATATAGTTTTCTGGACACCATGGCATTTTGTAGAAGTTTATTCGATTTGGTCAACCAAAATTGAGTTCACGGGATTTGTTGCTAACAACAGTTAGGGATTCAGGCTCACTCACAAGCCGGAAACTTACAAACAAACCGGTCAACAAAACGGGTCGTTCCCAGTTTCCCAATTGCCAAGATTTCAGAATGTCCAAAGGAGTACTGGCCAAAATCCAGCCAAATATGACCGTCTCTTTTCCGACAGGTCCAAATGAGCATAGAATGAGTTTCGCTCTCAAAAACCTCTCCAAGGAAGATATACAATAGTAGTACAAAGAAGTTTGATTTGCCATGAGTTCCACCTTGGTTCCAGCACAAACGTTGGTCAACTTAGTCAACTTCGAGCAATTTCAGCGTGCTCTCGGGCTCTGGCCTTTTGCAAAGCTTCAGCATGGCAAATGGCCTGCCAGTCACTGAACCATCTCGCACGATGGAAAACACAAAACATGCGGCCAAGGATTTAGGATCTTGGTCCGTCTTCAGTATCAACATCTATCAACCATCCCAATTGAAGATCATTTAGGGATACAGTAGGAGTACTGTGGATAGCCAATGACTTGACCCATCCTAACCCCCTTTTCCGCCAGCGAGAAGTGCCACCGGCCTCTGGGCTGAGCTCAAACTTGTCACCGTTCACCCAGATTGCAGAGTGCTGATCGGCGCTTGCCTTTGTCAGCACCCGACGACGCCCATCATCATCCCAAGATAATCAGTTTCATGGTTGGGGAGGGAACTTGGCTATGCCAAAAGGCAAGGCCTATCAAACTTGGAACTAGTATGAACTAGTTATATACTCTTTCTTGTCAGATGCTTTCAGGGTCATTCGGGTGACTTTGCCTTTGCATTGCTGAAAGATTTTTTGTCATTCTCACCACCTTGAGGTCATTCTGAGAACACGACTTCAAGCACATCGACCCGATAGTGCCGCGCATCGTCTGGGAAAAGTGCACCTTTGAAACAGGGAAACTTGTTCTGTACTAGTCATTTGTTGCCGCAAGTTCCATCAGAACATCATATCACGTAAAACAATCTAGAGACATAGCATCCAATTCGAGTGACCCGGAAAAATCCTTGGATCCATACATTTAGATACATTTAGCATCTTGCGGTGAGGAAGCCAAATGGGCAAGCCAAATTCATATTTAAACTTCAAAACTCCACAGTTTTCTAGTTGAAATCTGAAGATCTGATGAATTCACATAGTTTGCAACATCATTTCGGATAAAATCCATCCGTGTCAGCTTCCACTCTGCAATGGCCAACCCTGAGATTCCTGATCAGCCGTTGATCTCCTCCAATGATTCAAGAAACACAAGATGTAGCTGTGTCCAAAAATGGGAGCTACCTCCAAAATGGATCAAAATGGCTATCTTTCTGGGAAAATGGGGATCAATCAACCATGATCAACCATAAACCCATTTTGGAGGTACCAGCTGGGCTCCCTGGAAAATGAGGATCAATCAACCCAATTGGGAAAGCATGTTCTTGTGGTACCCTCTGGTAAACTAACATAGCTATGGAAAATCACCATTGTTAATGGGAAAATCCACTATAAATGGTCATTTTCAATAGCTATTTTGACATAACCAGAGGGTACCCATCTTTCGAAAATGAGGATCCATCAACCAGCCGGGCTCCCTGCGGTAATTTGCTGAGAATTTCTTTCGATATCCACGGGGTGCCGCCTGCCACCGTGGACGACTTGGGACTTGGGACTTGGGAAAGTTTTGTAAAGCATAAATCAACATGGCAGTTTGTCAAAACCTTGTACCCCTGTAGTTCACATCAAAATAGCTGGGATTTATGGATGTGAATAACCCCCTAAAAATGGTATTAATATGTATTAATAGGTATTGATCCATACCCACATTTCCTTTAACGAATTCTGGGATGCTTGAGATGAACATTTCAGGATGTTGTTGTTTGTTAGTTTTGTTCTTCTTACACTTACATCAGCATTGGACCACAATAAAAAAACTCTGCGTGTGATTCCTATGATTCCTTTCACCCAGTTTCTTGTCTTTCTTGTCATGTACGATTCAGATATTTGAATCTCTAATGGTAGTAGTGGCATCCATGTCTTTTTTCGGCGCACGAACCTCCGAAATCCAGTGGTACTTGGAAGTGTCCGCCCATTCAGGTAAATGTAAATGACTTGGCTTAGTTTCCCCAAATGTATATACTGTGTATATATATATATAATATATATATAATATATATATGATATATATATATATATTTTTTTTATATATATATGTATCATGTCATGTGGGACAGGACGTATATCTTTCAACCCACCAAGCATCAAGCACTTTTGGGTTTCGCTACCCACCTCCTTGGCTCGTTTTCTCGGTGAGTCTCCATCATCCGTGCCCCAAGCTTTCGTTGTGACATGAGTTCAATTATATCCCCTCTGTCCCCATGGTTGATACTCTTAAGTCCCATGGAAGATCCGATTGAATCACATCAAATCTGGAAAAAAAAACCATGGAAAATCCCATTCTGTCTATTAGATCATATTAGATCCCATAGAAAACCCCATGGGAAAATACCACCGGAGTGAATTCCAACCCAACCGGCGTTCCGACGGACCTCAAGACCAAAGGTCTTCGCAGCGGTCTCTACGGAGCTCAGGAAGATGGCGCAAGCACCTTGGCAGCTGAGCAGCTGAGGTGTGTTTGTCGTGTTGCGAGGCAGGCAATGGATATATATATATATATTATTTGTATGTAATAATGCAAACATTCTATACCATATGTAATGTGATATTGTATACAATATGTATACATATAATATTCTATATCTACAATATATATATATATAATTAATTCTATATATGTGAACAACACATGGGGCATTTCTTTAGACCAGCGAAGTCTATGATTCAAATATGATCTGATCACCAAAAAGTTTGATCCTACCCAAACTCCGGAGCTATCCATCCAACATTATCCAACTAGGTACAGCGACCAGTGAAATCAAAGATACTTGACAAAATAAAGGAGGCAAAATAAAAGAGACTCCAAAAAGCGAAGCATTTTGGGGGACATAACCAGTGAACATGTGGATGTAATCCGCCGACCCCGGCCTTGGCCAAGGCAGGGGCGGCGCCTGGGACCACCGCAGGTGTGGAACTTCTCCTTCTTCGCTTTCCACGGTCAAACCCATCTTGCAGCCATCAAGCTACATCAATAGCTTCTTATGGCCACTCTTGCAGGCAACAGGCACCCCAGCCAACATGCACTCCAGGGCCACACATCAATGGCTTCTTATGGGCGTCCAAGTCTGCCCTTAAAACCCTCCAAACCCTGAAAAACCGTAAAACCCTTAAAACGTTGACTTGGCATGCTTCATCCTGCAACCAACAGCCACCCCGCGCCACACATCAATGGCTTCTTATGGCCACTCTTGCAGCTAACCGGCACCCCAGGGCCACACATCAATGGCTTCTTATGGGCGTCCAAGTCTGCCGTTTGCCAGCCCTAAAACCCTCCAAACCCTTAAAACGCTCCAAACCCTCCAAACCCTTAAAACCCTCCAAACCCTTACAAACCGTAAAACCCTTAAAACGTTGACTTGGCATGCTTCATCCTGCAGCCAACAGCCACCCCGCGCCACACATCAATGGCTTCTTATGGCCACTCTTGCAGCCAACCGGCACCCCAGGGCCACACATCAATGGCTTCTTATGGGCGTCCAAGTCTGCCGTTTGCCAGCCCTAAAACCCTCCAAACCCTTGCCAGCCCTAAAACCCTCCAAACCCTTAAAACGCTCCAAACCCTCCAAACCCTTAAAACCCTCCAAACCCTTCAAAACCGTAAAACCCTTAAAACGTTGACTTGGCATGCTTCATCCTGCAGCCAACAGCCACCCCGCGCCACACCCCTTAAAACGCTCCAAACCCTCCAAACCCTTAAAACCCTCCAAACCCTTAAAAACCGTAAAACCCTTAAAACGTTGACTTGGCATGCTTCATCCTGCAGCAACAGCCACCCCGCGCCACACATCAATGGCTTCTTATGGCCACTCTTGCAGCCATCCTTCTTATGGCCACTCTTGCAGGCAACAGGCACCCCAGCCAAAATGCACCCCAGGGCCACACATCAATGGCTTCTTATGGGCGTCCAAGTCTGCCCTTTGCCAGCCCTAAAACCCTCCAAACGCTCCAAACCCTCCAAACCCTTAAAACCCTCCAAACCCTTAAAAACCGTAAAACCCTTAAAACGTTGCCTTGGCATGCTTCATCCTGCAACCAACAGCCACCCCGCGCCACACATCAATGGCTTCTTATGGCCACTCTTGCAGCTAACCAGCCAACAGCCACCCCGCGCCACCATCAATGCTTCTTATGGCCCCGCTTGCAGCCATCCGGTTCTTATGGCCACTCTTGCAGGCAACAGGCACCCCAGCCAACATGCACCCCAGGGCCACACATCAATGGCTTCTTCTGGGCGTCCAAGTCTGCCCTTTGCCAGCCCTAAAACCCTCCAAACGCTCCAAACCCTCCAAACCCTTAAAACCCTCCAAACCCTTAAAAACCGTAAAACCCTTAAAACGTTGACTTGGCATGCTTCATCCTGCAGCCAACAGCCACCCCGCGCCACACATCAATGGCTTCTTATGGCCACTCTTGCAGCCATCCGGTTCTTATGGCCACTCTTGCAGGCAACAGGCACCCCAGCCAACATGCACCCCAGGGCCACACATCAATGGCTTCTTATGGGCGTCCAAGTCTGCCGTTTGCCAGCCCTAAAACCCTCCAAACGCTCCAAACCCTTAAAACCCTCCAAACCCTTAAAAACCGTAAAACCCTTAAAACGTTGCCTTGGCATGCTTCATCCTGCAACCAACAGCCACCCCGCGCCACACATCAATGGCTTCTTATGGCCACTCTTGCAGCCAACCGGCTCCCCAGGGCCACACATCAATGGCTTCTTATGGGCGTCCAAGTCTGCCGTTTGCCAGCCCTAAAACCCTCCAAACCCTTAAAACGCTCCAAACCCTCCAAACCCTTAAAACCCTCCAAACCCTTAAAAACCGTAAAACCCTTATTAAAACGTTGACTTGGCATGCTTCATCCTGCAAGCAACAGCCACCCCGCGCCACACATCAATGGCGTCTTATGCCACTCTTGCAAGCTAACCGCACCCCATGGCCACACATCAAGGGCTTGCTTCTTCTGGGCGTCCAATTCTGCCGTTTGCCAGCCCTAAACCCTCCAAACCCTTAAACGCTCCCAACCCTCCAAACCCTTTTAAAAACCCTCCAAACCCTTAAAAACCGTAAAACCCTTAAAACGTTGACTTGGCATGCTTCATCCTGCAGCCAACAGCCACCCCGCGCCACACATCAATGGCTTCTTATGGCCACTCTTGCAGCTAACCGGCACCCCAGGGCCACACATCAATGGCTTCTTATGGGCGTCCAAGTCTGCCCTTTGCCAGCCCTAAAACCCTCCAAACGCTCCAAACCCTCCAGCCAACAGCCACCCCGCGCCACACATCAATGGCTTCTTATGGCCACTCTTGCAGCCATCCGGTTCTTATGGCCACTTTTGCAGGCAACAGGCACCCCAGCCAACATGCACCCCAGGGCCACACATCAATGGCTTCTTATGGGCGTCCAAGTCTGCCGTTTGCCAGCCCTAAACCCCTCCAAACGCTCCAAACCCTCCAAACCCTTAAAACCCTCCAAACCCTTAAAAACCGTAAAACCCTTAAAACGTTGCCTTGGCATGCTTCATCCTGCACCCAACAGCCACCCCGCGCCACACATCAATGGCTTCTTATGGCCACTCTTGCAGCTAACCAGCCAACAGCCACCCCGCGCCACACATCAATGGCTTCTTATGGCCACTCTTGCAGCCATCCGGTTCTTATGGCCACTCTTGCAGGCAACAGGCACCCCAGCCAACATGCACCCCAGGGCCACACATCAATGGCTTCTTATGGGCGTCCAAGTCTGCCCTTTGCCAGCCCTAAAACCCTCCAAACGCTCCAAAATCTCCAAACCCTCCAAACCCTTAAAACCCTCCAAACCCTTCAAAACCGTAAAACCCTTAAAACGTTGACTTGGCATGCTTCATCCTGCAGCCAACAGCCACCCCGCGCCACACATCAATGGCTTCTTATGGCCACTCTTGCAGCCATCCGGTTCTTATGGCCACTCTTGCAGGCAACAGGCACCCCAGCCAACATGCACCCCAGAGCCACACATCAATGGCTTCTTATGGGCGTCCAAGTCTGCCCTTTGCCAGCCCTAAAACCCTCCAAACGCTCCAAACCCTCCAAACCCTTAAAACCCTCCAAACCCTTAAAAACCGTAAAACCCTTAAAACGTTGCCTTGGCATGCTTCATCCTGCAACCAACAGCCACCCCGCGCCACACATCCATGGCTTCTTATGGCCACTCTTGCAGCTAACCGGCACCCCAGGGCCACACATCAATGGCTTCTTATGGGCGTCCAAGTCTGCCGTTTGCCAGCCCTAAAACCCTCCAAACCCTTAAAACCCTCCAAACCCTTAAAACGCTCCAAACCCTCCAAACCCTTAAAACCCTCCAAACCCTTAAAAACCGTAAAACCCTTAAAACGTTGACTTGGCATGCTTCATCCTGCAGCCAACAGCCACCCCGCGCCACACATCAATGGCTTCTTATGGCCACTCTTGCAGCCAACCGGCACCCCAGGGCCACACATCAATGGCTTCTTATGGGCGTCCAAGTCTGCCGTTTGCCAGCCCTAAAACCCTCCAAACCCTTAAAACGCTCCAAACCCTCCAAACCCTTAAAACCCTCCAAACCCTTAAAAACCGTGGAACTTCTCCTTCTTCGCTTTCCACGGTCAAACCCATCTTGCAGCCATCAAGCCACATCAATAGCTTCTTATGGCCACTCTTGCAGGCAACAGGCACCCCAGCCAACATGCACCCCAGGGCCACACATCAATGGCTTCTTATGGGCGTCCAAGTCTGCCCTTTGCTTCTTATGGGCGTCCAAGTCTGCCGTTTGCCAGCCCTAAAACCCTCCAAACCCTTAAAACGCTCCAAACCCTCCAAACCCTTAAAACCCTCCAAACCCTTAAAAACCGTAAAACCCTTAAAACGTTGACTTGGCATGCTTCATCCTGCAGCCAACAGCCACCCCGCGCCACACATCAATGGCTTCTTATGGCCACTCTTGCAGCCAACCGGCACCCCAGGGCCACACATCCATGGCTTCTTATGGGCGTCCAAGTCTGCCGTTTGCCAGCCCTAAAACCCTCCAAACCCTTAAAACGCTCCAAACCCTCCAAACCCTTAAAACCCTCCAAACCCTTAAAAACCGTAAAACCCTTATTAAAACGTTGACTTGGCATGCTTCATCCTGCAACCAACAGCCCCCCCGCGCCACACATCAATGGCTTCTTATGGCCACTCTTGCAGCCAACCGGCACCCCAGGGCCACACGCCACACATCCATGGCTTCTTATGGGCGTCCAAGTCTGCCGTTTGCCAGCCCTAAAACCCTCCAAACCCTTAAAACGCTCCAAACCCTCCAAACCCTTAAAACCCTCCAAACCCTTAAAAACCGTAAAACCCTTAAAACGTTGACTTGGCATGCTTCATCCTGCAGCCAACAGCCACCCCGCGCCACACATCAATGGCTTCTTATGGCCACTCTTGCAGCCAACCGGCACCCCAGGGCCACACATCAATGGCTTCTTATGGGCGTCCAAGTCTGCCGTTTGCCAGCCCTAAAACCCTCCAAACCCTTAAAACGCTCCAAACCCTCCAAACCCTTAAAACCCTCCAAACCCTTAAAAACCGTAAAACCCTTAAAACGTTGACTTGGCATGCTTCATCCTGCAACCAACAGCCACCCCGCGCCACACATCAATGGCTTCTTATGGCCACTCTTGCAGCCAACCGGCACCCCAGGGCCACACATCAATGGCTTCTTATGGGCGTCCAAGTCTGCCGTTTGCCAGCCCTAAAACCCTCCAAACCCTTAAAACGCTCCAAACCCTCCAAACCCTTAAAACCCTCCAAACCCTCAAAAATTCAAACGAGACCCCAAAGCCAGATCAATAGCTTCTTCTTGGCGTTCCAGCTTGTCGTTTACCACCTTTCTCTTTCACAACGCCGTCCTTGACTGAAAATTGGCTCCCGCAGACCGTTCGATGGTCTATTTTCCCTGTCTTGACGTCACTGGCCACATTCCCTTTGCAAACGGGGCAAATGTAAACATACGCTTTCTCCTTCACAACGCCGTCCCTCACAGAAAACTGGTTCCCACAGACCGTTCGATGGTCTATTTGCCCTGTCTTGATCTCACTGGCCACATTCCCTTTGCAAGCGGGGCAAATGTAAACATACGCTTTTTCCTGCACAACGCCGTCCTTTACAGAAAATTGGTTCCCACAGACCGTTCGATGGTCTATTTTCCCTGTCTTGACGTCACTGGCCACATTCCCTTTGCAAGCGGGGCAAATGTACACATACACTTTTTCCTGCACAACGCCGTCCTTCACTGAAAATTGGCTTCCACAGACCGTTCGATGGTTTATTTTCCCTGTCTTGACGTCACTGGCCACATTCCCTTTGCAAACGGGGCAAATGTAAACATACGCTTTCTCCTGCACAACGCCGTCCCTCACAGAAAACTGGTTCCCGCAGACTGTTCGATGGTCTATTTGCCCTGTCTTGACCTCACTGGCCACATTCCCTTTGCAAGCGGGGCAAATGTAAACATACGCTTTTTCCTGCACAACGCCGTCCTTTACAGAAAACTGGTTCCCACAGACCGTTCGATGGTCTATTTTCCCTGTCTTGACGTCACTGGCCAAATTCCCTTTGCAAGCGGGGCAAATATACACATACCCTTTCGCAACGACCTGTGCATCCCACACCTGGAAACGGTTACCACATGCACGCCGGTGATCTACTTGGCCCGTGCGTATACTGCTCCTCACCGACTTTTGGCAAGCGGGACAAACATATTGGAAACTCTTGCCTTCCCCCGACATCTCCCTCGCACTGCCCTTGCTCTGCTGCGTGCAGCTCATTTCTGCCTGCCTGTCTGTTCTTCTTTCTGTTCCGCCGTCTTCTCTACGTTGCTTTGCGTCCGGCGGGGCTTCCTGCATTTGGGCGGTGTCCTGTTCTGTTTTCCTTTTTCGTTCCACGCTGGCAGCCGCGACATCAGTCGTCGCCTGCACCGCCCTCTGCCGTCCGTTGCTGTCGTCCTGTTGGCCACGTACCTTTGCAGGCCCCGCTGTCGTCATTTCTGTTCCATTCTCTTGTCTGCGCTGTTTTGCCTTCGGCTCTGCTTCCTTCCTTTGGGGGCTCTGCTGTTCTCTCTTCCGTTTTCGTTCCGCGATGGCAGCCCAGACATCGGCGATGGCGCGTGCCTTTTTTTCGTCCGCTGCCTGCCTCGCCACTTTCGCCTGCGTTGCCGTTACCCGCTGTACCGCTTTGCTGATGCTTCCCCGGGGAATGGGGCACATTTGCTACAATGATCGCCGATTGCGCTTCCCTATGGTTGTGAAACTTCACATGTTTGACCATTCAGCGAGGAAACTGCTGGCCTTAGCGGCCAAAAACAAATGGGTTTTATCACCGCTTGTTGACACGGTCCAGATGAATGAGGACTTTGTAGGGCAGTGCGCGCGCTTGTCTCGAAGAGTTTCACCCGTAACTAATAGCCTACGCACACTCCAGAGGTATCTTACGCGTGCTAGGCGAATCTGGGCCAAGAGCTGTGAATCCAAAGGGTATGCAGCTGCTTTTAAACCTATTTCCAAAAAACGCCAGGCAAGTTCAGACCGCTGAGGTCCAAGCTGAAGTGTGGGATCTAGCACATGGGGCAGTGCTTTAAAAAAGGAAATGGCCGCGGAAGTGGCCGCACTTGAGTGATTTCTCTGCATTTGTTGCATGCATTCCTGCATCTCCTTAAACCCACTATGGAATATCCTATGACCATCTATGACCCCAAAAAATCCACTATGGAATATCCTATGACTATGACCATCTATGACCCCAAAAAATGACCACATCCGAAACGGTCACAAAAATTAGCCAAAACCGTTTGGCCACAAAAAAGTGGGTTTATGGATATGCAGGTTTATATATATGTGGGATCATGTGCTACATCATACTCCCCAGGTTGATTGCCAGTACCCCCCCTCCAATTAGGGGGGTCGGCGGCACCTGGGCGCTAGCCCATTTTATATATTTCATACAAATCTACATATGTAAAAGACGAAAGCCTGAAAGTGCGAAGCACCGAAGAATCTTTATGAACATTGAGTTTGCATACATGACCACATGACCATTCTTCCGGGGTCGGCGGCAGGGGCGGCAGCCCTTCTATAAATCGGGACACTTGACTACGTAGTTTGCGGGCTTCGTAGACTGCATTCGCTCAAGCCCAATATGTCAAAAATGAAATGAGCCTGAGGTAGACGCTCCAGCAGGCACAACATTGCTTCAACAACCACGTCATTTGCCTGTCAATGGCACGCAAGAAATTGGATGCAATCGAAAGGCTTCCATCCAATCATTCCTTCAGAGATACGGTATGTATATGTATGTATTGTATTCATTTGTATTCTAATCATAGTCTCACAAACCAGTGCAGACGTCAGATCTTTCCGCGCCTCTCCCGCATCTTTAGCTCTCTGCAGCAGTCTGGCCCCACAAGCTGCAGCCTCCACCTCCTAGCGTACAAAGCTACATCCATAGATACAGCAGCCACAAAATCTGGACACTCTTTGAGGCGATCTTTGAAATCTCTTTTGCCCCCTTCATGCAAAGGAGCAACTTGCCGCCCCTCAAATCTGAATTGAGTTTGCCGATGTTTGCCCACTAAAGGATACTTGGTGGAGCACAGTCACAATGCAGAGCACACTTCGTTTTGGCTCCTGCCCGGTTTTGGCCCAGGCTGTGCAAGCACCCAAGAGGGCTGAGTACGCATGCCTCAGAGGACGAAGATCGTAGCATTTCAAGGATCAAAGCTGGGCCATGCGAAAAGGATGGGAAAAATGGGGAAAAATTCAATGCTCTTGAAGCGCTGGGCAGCTCAATCACCTAATTAAAAAAGACTCAAGCCTGAGGGATCAGCGATTCAGGTCTGACAGATCGCTTCTGCATATCGGGCAGAATGGAGTTCAAAGCGACTTGCCAACCTCATTTTGAGGACTCAGTCAAGAAAATGCGTCTGTGATCTTTGCTTGAGCTGTCCTTGGCAGAGGGCTCTCGCTTTCAGCCTCTTGTTCAAAACATGCTTAAACATGCTTAAACAATCTATTTGCTAGTGTACTGAATTCCTGCAAACTCTTTTGCATCCCTTCAATTTCTCAGGTATTGCTTTCAGCAAGTTGCACCACCCCTACAGCGAAAGTCGATGATCTTGGTCCCTGACTACAGCTCTTTTCGAGCACGCCCAGCACCTTGATTAGAGTGGGAGCACCTGTGGAATGCTATTTGTTCATGAGATGGCTACGTAATCTGACCCTGTCATGTCTTGCCAAAACAGCAGCTTTGAACTGTCGGAAGCGGATGAAATACGATAAAATAACACATGGCCTGAAATCCTAAGCTGTTGTGCTCTTCTAGCAAAACTGTGGAAGCGGACGCAGCCAAATGTCATCCCATCCCATGCTCTCAGTTCTTGTTGGATCCTGGCCAAGGGAATATCTCTTGTAACTGAAAGATAGAAAGTTTGCCGGCACCCCAAAATATCTCCAGCTTAAAGGATCCAAAAAGCATAAACACTGCCAGGAATGCTGAAGGGCTTCTTGCCAACGTTGTGCTACCTGTGGGCATGTCAAAGGCCCAAACCGAACCAAACCGAACAATGAACATCAAACTGCTCAGTGACTTCTCAGTGACTCCTGTCGTTTTCCGCGCTCTCAACTTGGCTCCGTACCCTCATGCAGCCCAGTAGCACCCGCACGACTCCATGAGGTGCAAGGTGTGCAGACCGTGCCCATTGCATGAGCGACAAGGCAGCCTGGCTCCATGGATATTCAAAAAAAATATTGATGTCCACATTGTCCCTACATTCCGCAAGCATCCTCAACTATCCTCAACCATCCTCAACCATCCTCAATAACCATCCTTGACACTATCAAGTACTGTTCATTTACAGCATCTAAATGCACGAGATGTCGAATGTCCATGCCTCCCACTGCCTGAGAATCGGCAGGGAGAATGGTGGGCAGGAAGCATCTTGGACCCAAACACAGAGGTCTTAAAACCTTGGACCCGCGCCCACTTTGCTCACAAGCTGCAAGTGCAGCGCCAAGGGATACGATGTTGGCCTTGGGACCTGCTTCCAAATTCACAAAGTACAGCCCACCCCAACTCACATGGTGCAGAGATAGGACGTGCCATGGCAAAAGGATGTGATTCGTAAATTTTCATCATGGATTTTGCCACCAGATTCTTACGGTTTGCTAATGTTGGAAACCAGACTGCCTTCGCCTGAGATCAGATCCTCCAGAAATGAGAGGGCCTCTGATGCTAAAACCAACCACGGGAGGGTGGAAGCACAACTGTGGGTCCACCTGGTCTGGAACGTAAGTGCTTGAAAAGTGAGGCCGGAAACCGCCGGAAAATACATTGCACTCGTAGCTCATTGCACTCGTAGCTCTCATTTTTCAAGCGAGGATTTCCATCAAGCGCAGATTTCACTGTCGAATCCACCGGTTGAATGGACACAATTTGACGCAATTGATCTTGAATTGTCGCCACTCTTGCTACGGTCAATTCTTTGCCAAGCAGGTTTGGGCTTGAGAAACCCAGCCAAACCTGCCTGGTCACATGCATTTTGGCACCATTTTGCTTGGTAGATATCTTTGACCAAGCACTGCCCTTGCCATTTTCCATTTGTGCCTCGCTTTTGCTTGGCTCATTTACAAAGAGTGCGCTCTTAGACCCCTCCTTCGGGTTCAAGAATCAAACCGAGGGCATCCTAGTGAAGGTCTGCCCGCGGGGAACCACTATCTGACCTCGCGGAGCGATGCAATCTCAACAGAAAACCCAAGGACCCGATCAACCACTGTTCTTTGTGACGACCCCTCAATTACAAACGATCTATGGAAAAGTGAAGTTCAGAAAGACCGAAAGTTGCATTGACTTTATGCTGGCTGCCTAACTTCCTGAATGCTTTGGGATTCCCATCATTTCAATCATTTCCCATAATTTCCCATAGCCTCCCATTTCTTTCTCGGTACATGGGCGGCTCGATGCCTTGCAGTCTGAGCACAGCCGCAGATCTATTGGAGTACACTGGTACTGAGTACACCACATAAAGCATGGAACATTGGTAAATAATGTGCTAAAAACACCTTTGTATACCTTTGTAAGCGATTCCAAAGAAATTCCCGAGTCGGTTAGCTACAGTGAGTTTTCTGAGCTTGCTGAGCTTCCTTTTTGTTTGTAGGCGAGATGCTATGGTCCAGTCGAGTTGCTATCGTCCTCCTGGTTCGATTCCAGATGAGTCATCTCCGTTTTGGCCTTCTCAATGTCATCCACCTGGAAGTGATATTGGTATCAAATACATTCAAATATATTCAAATACTGTACGATAAAATCTCACTTGGAATGTGTAGAATGGCATGAGGTGGCGCCTCCAGGAACTCAAAGTTATTTGGTTCTCGCTTGCCACTCCGGGACACAACCTGTACAATGGCGCAAGATCCAGCATTCTGGTTGACATGTTCATGCAAATCATGCAAATCATGCAATCTGTGAGAGTTTCAAAAGCAAAGAGAACCTCTGGAGAATGGCTAAGCCAGCGGCTGCTGCGCCAACGCTCAGTGGCGTCACAGGATCCAGTTGTGACATATGACCACCCTGCAAAGACACACAGTGCTGACGGCAGTCCTTGAGAAATGGGTACGTAAGCATCAAATGCACCCCGCCAGAATATACAAGAATCCTGCCTTCAGCTCTCTGTAGAGGCCATTGATGACACCCATTTCAAACTTTGCCTGTGCAACACGCTCACGATGATGTTTCTCCAAAGAAAGGTCGTTCAATTGTTCAAAATCAAACATAAAACAGTGTGGAACTGTCTGTGAGATTGCACGTTCACTGGATACGGCAACTGCAGACAAGTTACTGGTGCTTTGCTCACTTGACCTAAAAGAATCGCTCTTTCCACAGTGCATGCGTGAGTTTTACCCTTGAGACTTGAGACCCCTCAAATACTTATCCACATCTCCAATTTCCACATTCACGCAAACGTTATGAGATCTTCCTAGGACACCTTGTAGAGTGACTTGATGCTGTTGTCCCCTATCCGAAAGAACCGAAGAAATGAGGTCTGGAACGGAAAGGGGCACTTCCGTGTTTATCCATTTCTTCTGTGTAGTCTACCACATAATCAGCCCGTACACTAGAGACCTCTGCTCGGACACTGGGCAAAAAAGTGGTTCCTTTTTGCTGTTTGTTTGGAGACTGTGCTGTCAGCAGGATACTTGTGGCCCTAATGCTGGATCATAACAGGCCCACAAATCCTTTGGCCCAAAGATGGTGGATAGCAGGGAAAAGGTTTAGCCATCAGCTTGCAATTGTCCAACAATTGGGGCAGCTTACAAATAATGACATATGCAAACATGTGGCTGAACTTTCTCTAAACATCTGCAAACCGTCTTTGAAAAGTCTAGGATTGGACGATGTCGCAGTGGGAAGCCAAGATGGTACCCAACCATTTAGTGGCTACTGACCACAATGCCAATGAAATCTAATTCAAATAAGCATGGAATATGTGTTAGGCCTTACAAAGTCGGCATAATTTGTCAGGCGAGAATCCATATGCCTGTATACCGAGAAGAGCAATTACGTAGCCAAGCCTCAAAAGCGAGAGAAAGATGAGAAAGGGCCAAGGTTTCACACTGGAAACCAACGAAGATATCTGCAAATCCGCCAACCAAGCATACTAACTCTTCATGCAAGTAAGCAACACTTGAATACCAGAAACCGGGCTGCCCATCAGGATGACCTTGGAACACGCCACTTCATCAAGCAAGTCCTCTACTATACATTAGGAATCTCTGCCTGCACAAACCAATGGGACCAAGTAGCTGAACCCATAATGATAGAGATGTCCTCCGCTACACTTGGGAGCCAGCCGGGAGGCTGACTCATTGCAGGGTCTATTGTGGATTCCAGCGGCACAATCTCTCACTGCCAACGGCAAAAGGCCCGAACCGTGCAAACAATTTGCAAAAGGATTCTTGCATGCCTGCAACATGTTAGGAAATAATATCGTCCTTGACAATTCCCGCCAAAGCATAGATCAATCCAGATGCAACTTGGATTGCTATGTAGATGGCAATGTTCAGGAGGAATGCCTGGATTTGTTCAACTGTCTGCTTGAGGATACTGGTGAACGAAACGTTGGACGAACTCAATTTTTCGGCACTGCGAACAAAAAAAATGGAAACCAACATAACCCAACTCATTTGAAAAAGAAGCTTCACCAAGCAGCAATGAGTGCATTGGCAGCCAATGCGACCTCCCCTATGTTGTGCAAAACCTGAGAAGCTCTGTGAACAGAGGCACAAAAATCAGTGAGAAAGCTTATAAACAGATATTCACTTCACGTTCGATGATTTACCCATCGGACGGACTAGCCATCTTGAGTGATCAAAAGTTTGCCAAGCTTCTTCCATGGATACAGCATCTGGATCTGTCACGATGCCAATTATCCTCACATATGTACAAAATCAAATCAACGACTGGTTCGGCCCAGTACAAAGTCTGCGTTGTTTCTCTTCAACATTGCGAATCATTGCAGCAAAGATTCAGCAAAATGCTCGATGCAACTGGTGCAAATACCATCACCGAGCTAAGCGGATTGAGTTTGTAACCAGCCCTTGGTTGCATCGTTTGCAGGCAGGTTCGAGACGATGCAAGATGCGCAAGGCTGTTGAATTGTTTGGCCATCACATGGCCTTGTGCTTAAAAAAGGGACTGTGATCCGGAGAGAAACACACCAGAATTCTGGCATACCAAAGCAAATGATTCAGTGCAAAAACCAAGCATCGATTTCAGCAGAATCTCAAGCCTTCAGCTAGCAGTCTCCCACAGAGTCAACCAGGTGAGAATGTGGTGAGAATGTGGTGAGAATGTGGTGAGAATGTTGAGGGATTGAGGTCTACACAGGTTGATCCGTAGGCCCTCAGAAAGCAGCGCAGTGCACTGCATGATAAAGCCATACCTCAAGAGCTGGCCATTGGCATCCAATTGGAAGGGCTTTGTACGATACCATACAATACCAATAACATCCAATAAAGTCACAGCCGTCGTTTACATGCAGGCTCATTAGTAACAGCAGTCATGATAGTCGGCACATGTTTGAATGCATCCCACCCTTTGTGTTTGTGTGTGTAAGTGACAAGTCAAGGACATTTCAAGGACAATGTGCAATCAGGCATCCACACCTGATTCCCTTGTCACCCTTGTGCGTGTAAGTGTGCAGGCCCCTAGTTTTGTGGGCATGCCAGGAACTAGTTACAAGCTGGTCTGTTCAGCAAAATCTACTTTAATGCCCAACCCTATTTCGGCGGGAATGTTGGTGCTTGCGATAGCTAGCCCTTCAAGCAAGGAGCAACTCGAACTTGAGCTCACCAACGCTAGTGATCATGAGGCCTAAGAGGACATGTTCCAGGACAAAGACGGGTGAATACGAGCTGGTGTGAGAACCGGCAAGAAGAACACAACCTATCATCTAGCTGCTAAGATTGCTATGTAGTGTAGCTTCGTGAACGACCTGGTGCCTATCAAAACTGCGATGCACAGCGCGCCTGTTGTGATGGTGGCAAGGGTTTTGGCAGTTGCTGATGACCATTTCTGTGTCCCCACCTCACCGAAGCTCTCAGGTGAACAGTGAGAGTGGCTGCAACGGTTACAGCATAGACAAGACTTGCACTGAGTATGGGACCAAACAGCCCACCACATAGACACACCTCACTAGGTCACTAGGTCTAGGTAGAATCGAGCCATGCCAAGTTCAAAACTGGAGCGTTGACAGCATGGTCACAAGGTGTGGCGGCTGCTATTCCTCACAACTTGGCACGCGTTGATGACGGCCAGCCAAGGAACGCCGGAGTCCAAGCTTTGATCATCTGGCAAAAACTGACCGAGATGTACATCACAGCCTCTCCAAACAGAACGAAGATGACTCATGACGTGCCTTCTTCACACCCCTGTCTCCTCTGAAACCTGAAAAAATAAAAACACAAAAATGCTGAAATGTTGGCCCTTCGAACCTTTGGCTTCTCTGGCATATTTGCAGCCCAGCAGCTGTATTCCCCGCTATGAGGCCAACACACTGAGCTGCTGCAACTGGCACACCGATACGCAGGGCGCCAAGGAAGGTAAGTGCAGGTCTTCCATCCTGTGGCAGGTGGCTGTTGCCATTTCACTTGGCAATTGGGGGGCTTTACGCTCATGAATTGCAACGTTCACCCGGCCTTGTCGTCCCCCGTGCTGACTAAAGATGGTTTTATCAGCCGCAGCAAAAAGACTAGTAAGCTGCTTACCTCAGTAACCAAAACAAAACTTACTAAGAGGGAAACTACATCAAGTGCTGACAATTCCTTCATGGTTTGTCCCTATCTGCGGAATATTTTTGGCGTTTCGAAACGGAATAGCGACCATGGCACGGATTGATGCCAGAAGGTCAGCCAAACTGGGTGTCTGAATCCTTGCCTTGGGAGTGGCACAGCCGGAAGTGTTTGGACTGCTGCCAGGATGCATAAAACTTGCCTCAACCTCAAATAAAAATACATACCCTCAGCTACTTGGGGGGCGGGGTGGGTTACTGTAATGTAGACCCTAAACGTGGGGTCTAAAAGGTTGTTTGGCCAGGGCGAATGTAAAAATAATTTCGTTCATCTAGACCTTTGGGCTGGTTCAGTATTTAAGGTCTACTATGGTTTTCCCACTGTCTCTACATATGCTCCTAAAAATCCAACTTTTCATGTGCACCGAACGCATTTCATTTTTGCATGTGCCACTGGTGGGCGTTTCGTAATCCCAAGCGACAAGACACTTCAGTTTGATCATACCCTCAAGATCAAACAAGATTTCAAAAAACCCAAGGCTTTTGACATCCCTCAACGGAGAGCAGAATAGAACCCCAACGTCTACGCATGGTGGGGTTCTAAAATCGTGTTCCTGCAAGCCATAAAATTATTGAAAAATGACATGTATTCTTCTGTTTTGTGTTGAACACATGCTGCGTTTCATTTGCATATTGCCTTTGTCCTCCCACACGCAGTGCGCGGTTAAGGTCACTGCAATGCTTTAGATTTTCTATTTTTTGCCGTTTTTCCTAGGCCGCGTCAGGCCCACCTTTTCCGGATAATATATGCAGAACTGCAGAACATTTTTTAAAGCAACGTCGGGACGGATGCAAAATTGGATTGCAACCTGTACGCTTCCCCACAAAGATTGCGTCGTTCAGTCATCTATTGACGCCACCGTGCCCTCACCTTGTTTTGGCAAGCGGTGTGCAAGATCATCGCTTGTGAAAGGAAAAATCGACTGGACCATGACCAGTCTCAAAATTTACTGAGAGTTATCAATCTCTCCTTCTTCGTTGTTCTCCGAAAGTTCTTTATCAGATGTGTTGCTATCAAAAGAAAGGAGGTGGTGGGTAACAAAAAGGATGCAAAAAAATGTAGACTGTAGAAGATGTGTCAAAGCATGGCTAAGTTGGAATATGGCTGGTCACATATCAGCGCCTGTGAGTCTAGAATGGTTCCCTCCAAGCTTTAAAAACAGATTGAAACGCATTGACCTGGGAAAAATGATGATAGATCTCGTTTTTTTTTTCAAACGCCTTGGCTGAACCAGAAGTGTTGGCATCTACAGAATGCAGATGGTGGATGAAAACAAATGTGCAAGGAAGGCCAAGTTGGGTTATGGCTGGCCAACAGTCAGCACCTGTGGGTCTGGAATGGTTCCCTCCAAGCTTTAAAAGCAGATTGAAATGCATTGGCCTGGGGAATATGATGATAGACCCTGCATTTTTTCCAAACGCCTTGGTTGGACCAAACGTGTTGGTATCTAAAGAAACGAGATGGTGGATGAAAACACATGTGCAAAGGGATGTGGAAGTAGGAGAGGTGCCAAAGGAAGGTTAAGTTGGGTTATGGCTGGCCAACAGTCAGCACCTGTGGGTCTGGAATGGTTCCCTCCAAGCTTTAAAAGCAGATTGAAACGCATTGGCCTGGGGAAAATGATGATAGACCCTGTATTTTTTTCAAACGCCTTGGTTGGACCAAAAGTGTTTGTATCTACAGAATGGGGATGATAAATGAAAACAAACGTGCAAAGGGATGTAGAAGTAGAAGATGTGTCAAAGGAAGGCTAAGTTGGGCTATGGCTGGCCAACAGTCAGCACCTGTAGGTCTGGAATGCTTGCCTCCAAGCTTTAGAAACAGCTTGAAACACTTTGACCTGGGGAAAATGATGATAGACCCTGCATGTTTTCCAAACGCTTTGGTTGGACCAAAAGTTTTGGTACCTACAGAATGGAGATGTTAAATGAAAACAAACTTGCAAAGGGATGTAGAAGTAGAAGAGGTGTCAAAGGAAGGTTAAGTTGGGTTATGGCTGGCCACATGTCAGCACCTCTGGGTCTGGAATGGTTCCCTCCAAGCTTAGAAAAACAATTGAACCGCATTGACCGGGGGAAAATGATGATAGACCCTGCATTTTTTTCCAAACGCCTTGGTTGGACCAAAAGCGTTGGCACCTACAGAATGGAGATGATAAATGAAAACAAGCGTGCAAAGGGATGTAGAAGTAGAAGATGTGTCAAAGGAAGGTTAAGTTGGGTTATGGCTGGCCACATGTCAGCACCTCTGGGTCTGGAATGGTTCCCTCCAAGCTTAGAAAAACAATTGAACCGCATGGACCTGGGGAAAATGATGATAGACCCTGCATGTTTTCCAAACGCTTTGGTTGGACCAAAAGTTCTGGTACCTACAGAATGGAGATGATAAATGAAAACAAACTTGCAAAGGGATGTAGAAGTAGAAGAGGTGTCAAAGGAAGGTTAAGTTGGGTTGTGGCTGGCCACATGTCAGCACCTCTGGGTCTGGAATGGTTCCCTCCAAGCTTAGACAAGCAATTGAACCGCATTGACCTGGGGAAAATGATGATAGACCCTGCATTTTTTTCCAAACGCCTTGGTTGGACCAAAAGCGTTGGCATCTACAGAATGGAGATGATAAATGAAAACAAGCGTGCAAAGGGATGTAGAAGTAGAAGAGGTGTCAAAGGAAGGTTAAGTTGGGTTATGGCTGGCCACATGTCAGAACCTCTGGGTCTGGAATGGTTCCCTCCAAGCTTAGAAAAACAATTGAACCGCATGGACCTGGGGAAAATGATGATAGACCCTGCATGTTTTCCAAACGCTTTGGTTGGACCAAAAGTTTTGGTACCTACAGAATGGAGATGATAAATGAAAACAAACTTGCAAAGGGATGTAGAAGTAGAAGAGGTGTCAAAGGAAGGTTAAGTTGGGTTATGGCTGGCCACGTGTCAGCACCTCTGGGTCTGGAATGGTTCCCTCCAAGCTTGGAAAAACAATTGAACCGCATTGACCTGGGGAAAATGATGATAGACCCTGCATTGTTTTTCCAAACGCCTTGGCTGGACCAAAAGTGTTGGTATCTAAAGACTGGAGGTGGTTGTTGGAAGCACGTCACTGCAGGTTGCTCATCACAACTTGGCCTGGCATTTGTTTCTTCCAAATCAAACTGGCATATGTGGGAGGTTGGAGGTAATGCCATATCATGCTGAAGTAAAGCTCATGATAATTCAGCTGAAGATGTTGCCGGAGATTAATTTTACATCTTTGTTATTGCACATTGCTGCAGGTTGGTCATTGTTTTGCCTTGTTTTCGGGTGATGTTCAAACCAAGCAACATCGAAATCACCTAGTTTTGAAGTTTTGAAAATGGAAATCTTGATCGACCAAAACCGGGGATGCTAATTCCACACATGTTTTGCACCTTTGTGCAAATACCTCATCACGACTTGTTTTCTTTTTCTGCGCTCCAAATCAATGACCTTTTCTTGTGGTCTGTTGAAATCAATTTATACCACAACAAGGCTCATATACTTTCAAGGTTCTGATTTGATAGCC